TCCACAATGAATTTTAAATTACTTGAGCCATCATTAATTGTTGAAGTGAAAAGTGCCACATCCATTTTATTTATATTCTTGGTTTTATTCTTATAGTAGCAATTTTCTTCTTTATGATTGGTTTTCTTGCAGATTTTACATTGATTTATTTTAAATTTACACTCTTTTTCATTATGATTATATTTCTTACAAATAGAACACATCTTACAATCTTTCTTCATATGCCCAGTTTTATTACATTTAAAACAAGTAATATTCTTTCTCGTTGCTTGAAATGCAAGTTGTTTTTCTTCATTTCTGTTTTCTGATCTACTTTCTTCATTTAATAATCTGTTAGTTAAATTTGTTAATGTTTTCTTATCATCAGGTGTTGATTCCCAAGCAGTACAAAAATAATTCAACTTACTCGGTAAACAGGTTAGAATTTTTGATATCACCATTTCGTCTGTAATATTTTGTCCAATTTGATTCAATCGAAACTTCAAATTTTCAATTTCTGATATTAACTGTGTTATCGATCTATTTTGAAGTCTAAAATTGAAAAATTCTTGCAATAATGAAGTCTTGTTTCTTTGTTCTGAACCTTCAAATATGTTACACAATTTTGTGTACATTTCAAATGCATTTTTACATTCTAATATATAACCTTTTAACTTTTTGTCAATTGTATTTATAATTAGCTTTTGTACCTTAGCATCTTTTGTGATATCTGATGTCTGGTCTGGTTTTTTCGTTACAATCTCACATAAGCTTGAAGCCTTTAAATATATATTGAATTCGAATTTCCACAATAAAAAACTTTCGGAATCTGTCAGTTTTTCGATTTTCGTTTCTTCTTCACTCATTGTTATTATAATTACTATTAATCCCTTTTGTTGTTTCTTTTCTTACCACGCGGTATAGCAATGGATTTTTTATTTTACCTTTTATCCAACTTATCATTAAACTCTCTTTTGATTGTGGCCTGGGCCCATAACCTGTCGCGGTTTCGCAGGCACAGAGGAAAAGAGAGAATAATCATATGCTTTTATGTGTTCTATATTAACTTTATTAATTTAACAGCTTATTACAAAATGTCCTCCATATTTTTTTTATTTCTTAGCACTTCTTATTTTTTAAACTCAGTGTTGCCAACCTGTACTTTAAAAATGGTACTAACCATTATATGGAAAAATCTTTCGTTTTTTTGCTTTTTGATGTTGAAATTATTGGATAAATTTACGGCAGAAAAATGCTTTCAATATGTCTTAGTATGAGCCGTAACATTTAACAAAACCAAAGCTTAAATGTAAAACAATTATTATTAAGCAATTATCGTGACAGCTAGTGATGGAATAGTGTTTCGGAAGTCACTTTAAGTCATTACTATCGGTTGCATCTGCAGTTGTTAAGATTAAATTGATTAATATATACCTCTCTCAAATCCCTGTAATTTCTAAACTCACGCCACCAAAACATATAGTATAGTGAAATATCATTGAAATGTTAAGTGGATTCGTTTTCGAAGTGATTTCTGTCACTTGAGTGAATTCGAATTCGGAATTTAAAATAAATCACCTACGGAGTGTTTCTAAAAGTAGTTTGTACACATTTTAATGACGTCGGACCGGAGTCAGGATCTGAATTTTCATTACCTAATAGTATCCAACATCGTTTTGGATCGCAATATTATGTTGGATGTGATTTATAGGATTATATTTATCAGACGCAAGAAGCATAACTATTCTTTCCATGCGACGCAGGTCGGCAATATTTATTACTTGCCTGTTATAAATTATGTTTATATTGATACACTTTAATTATTTCAGATTGCTGGACTCCGCTTCGTATTCCTGGTCAACCAAGAACTTATCAGTGCCATTCGACAAGAAGCTGTTAAAGTTACGATACCTGTTTAAGAAATAAATAGTTCTTTTAATTTCAATAAAATGCATTTTTATTTGGAACACATATATTTGGTCAATTCAGAAAAGTTTTTCAAAATGTAGCACACACGAATACATAAATAGTATACGATCCCATTCTACTTATACTCACGCCTTATATAATATTATACCACCCAGTTTAAAACAGTGAATAGGTACATCTTTCATAACAATATTACATCTATTAGGGAACACCATCTCGTGCGTTACTGCATAAAGATATGCTTTAAAATTAACCGATAAAATATCTAATCACTTACATCTAATATCTATTTAACTGTAACAAATTCCATAACCCATAAAAATAAGTAATATACCTTTAATATATAACCACAATGCAAAATACTTCATCACAAAAATTTACAAATGGCCATTAAAGTGCATGAAAATCAAAACTATTCACACGTTTGGTGTTGAAAACACTATGTTCAAACAACAAAAAATAATTATAAACAATATATCTCAGTCGTTAAATCATGCAAAGTGGATATAATAACACGACTATACATATATTATGTGTTTTCATTTAGTTATAACTATTGTTTATATGTTTCTATAGATTCTGATATATATCCTCTTTGGACAGTTACCCTTTTCTTCTTCATTTATCTAAGTATATATATTAACAAAGAATATAGTTTAACCTCTTTGGCGGTTTCTTTGAGGGATATGGCAAACATAATAAATAACTTACATGAGTGTGACACTAAATCAGTAATTTACATCTCGCACACCGTGTATTATGCTGATATGTTTGGACGAAAAATAATTACAAGATCAGCCTCAACTGTTAAATTAAATATCAATATAACTGAACATTCCGCTTAAGCAATGCCCCATCCCTTTGTACATTTAGAATCCATATTGGATTACATGACTTAAAATCTAACATATTATCTTAAGGCTTCATATTTTACATTAGTAGATAATAATAAAATCTTTAATAAATAAACAGTCCAACAAATCTTTCAACCCTTTCAACATAGTTAAATATATATATATATATATATATTACTGCTTACACTTACATCGTTAGCTTAAAATTCTATGACCTAAATTGAAGGCAACATTTGCAACATATTAAAATGGACTTAAAAGCATATATTTGGTATATCTTATTTATTTAATCACCCTGTACAGTACACAATATAAAAAATAGTGTATGTCTCATTAACCTCATTTAGGCACAATCAGGCAAAACTATAATGGCGAAAACGATAAATTTGAGATCAAGTTTAATTTATTTTGTTTTTATGAAATTTTGCAAATTTTAAAAAGGCACTATTAGCTCTATCATTTCCGTGTTAGTCATAATCAAATGGAATGACTGTTATTTTTTAATATGTGACAAATATGCTTATGTTTATTTATCATAATAAATTAATATTTCATCGCTCTTTATATACAATGATAAATAACTTTTGAGTCTGCAAAGTTAGACATGTCATAGTAAATCACTGTAAGTATCAATTCACCATGTCTGCAAATGTTATTAAAACAGTAAACAATTATTTTGAGTATTGGCTTTGGTCATTTCACGCTTTGATTTTATTACTTAGCCATAATAATCAATCGATCATCATCTACATATAAGAGTTAAGCTCTAATAATAGCGTTGAGTAAGCATTTTTTTCTGGATAATGGGAAAACACAACAATTCTTACAACTTGTGTGTACTTTTTGTACATTTATTTTGCGTCAACTAAATCTACACGCAATATTTATGTGCTTACAGTTAATGTGAGCAATTTATTGACCACTCAACGATTATGTGGTCATTTCAAACAATTGTAAATTTAAAATTTACAAAACTATTCTATACATAAAAATTTATCCAAGGGCCACTCGTTTGAGTAACTAAAATGTGGGTATATTGTTTTAATATAAAATAGACATTGATTAAAGTATCTATGATAAATGAGAGTACCTACCAAAAATACATCGATAAGTGTTTTCTTAAAACAAGTAGGTACAAAACATATTTTGCAATTCAGATTGGAGTGCCGTGATTCTCGGTTGTTTACTTGTTTTGTGGGTAGTTTTAATGTGATTATAGGGAGACAGTGAAGAAACACTTAATAATTACTCTACTGGTATAGGTGTTTTCGCTCACTGAATAGTACAGTGGCAAAACTCAAAAACCATAATTTCGAGAAACGCTCTCCGAAGTTATGAAAATTTAATATATTTATAATTATGAAAATCACTGTTATTATTATTACTGTTAAGTTTTTTATTTTTTCTTTTAATTATCTATGGGATGCCACCACAATGTTGTGGCGTTTTCTCGAAATAATGGTTTTTGAGTTGTACCACTGTACTATTCAGTGAGCGATTTGGCCAAAATAAACCAAAACCATAGTTTAATACATTAATAACGATACATTTTCATTCATAACACAGGCACATATCGCAGCGTATTAGGTTACTAAAAAAAATATTTTTCTGCAATAAATTTCGAAATTAACTGCAACAGATTAAAACTTAAAGTCGAATCGAATAAGATCGGAGAAATTTACCATTTTATACTAATTTGACGTACTATAGGCTGTACCACATTAGAAAATTAACGCCATCTATTGGCGCTCTTGTTTCGAGCTGACTATGACCAACCACCATAAGAGTCCTATTACATTACAAATTTAGCTTTCAAACAATCGCGTAATTTAGACTCTGCCATGCTGTATAAAAGGTAAAATATTAGCAAATAATTATATATTGAATAGCGACTGATCGAGAAGTATGTAAGAAGATCAAACACAAATGAATGAATTGGAATAAAGACAAGTAAATGTTAAATGATAATATGACATTTTCATAGACTGTCAATCAATGCCGGATTAAGACCATTTGATACACTAAGCAATCATCGTTAACCCCCCATACACAAGTAAACTAGTAATTTTTAAAAAAACATTACGTACCTGACGGCATTATAAAGGTCAAAATGAGCGAAAAATATTTTTTGGTGCTGTTTCTGGTTCCCCTCAAGTGATGCCCTAAGCATCAGGGATGATGTCAATTTTTTTTGTCTGTCCGTTAAATAGAATATTGAAGAATCTTAAACATGTTATTTTAATTTTTTGCGTAATCTATAAGTTAGGGCGATACCAATATATACATGTAACGTAGAAAATCTACTAAAGTGTGAGCCCCGCTCCTCAACTTTAATGATTACTATTTAAGCCATTTCTTGTAAAATTGAAGCAAAAAATACGTATCTAATGTTTTTCAATAATATCTGACTGACTGACTAAATAAAATTTCGTTATTTTTTACCCAGTCTTCGTCCTTATTGCTTAATTTGCTTATGGGCTAATCTGGCACTACTTTCAAAGCTTTAGCACCTAAATAGCTAACTTGATACTAAAGCATTATTTCATTAACACGTGTTATTGATTATTGCAGCTATGGAAATGTCAAGAAAGAAACATTATAATTAATGTTCAACAATTGCTTTAGAATGTCGATAAGAAAACTATATTTGTAATAACTTGACATTTGTTTCCATATAATAGGTCTCTTAATTTAAGTTTAATAAATAAATAAAGATGCTAACAAAGTGCATAAAATGTGCATTATAACTAAATATTTTGTAACATAATATACATACACAGTTTGCTTTAAAAATGGAATGATCATAACAATATAAAATTTGAAACAGTAACTTCATAATAATAAAAATATCAGATCAATTGCACTACAAAACAGAAAAAATAGAAAATATTACATTTTTCTTTGTTATTATTATATCACACTTATTTTAAAATTTGGCTTTCTTTTAGTTAACTAGGTAGTGTACTAAGTTGGGTAACTATTAAATAAAATCTAAATTAAAGGTAAAGGAAAAACATAGGAATGCTTTATCGAGACCAAAGAAAAGGGTGGGATTATACTAAAGTTAAGAATCATTCAAACTGGAATGAATGCAAACAAACTACCTTCAATATGTGTGTTTCAGCTTAATAGTATATTTCAAATGCCCCATAGATAAGTCGTCTAATTTTGGCTGTGATATTATAAATTTTGCACTTGGTGCAGATTTATACTTCTGAAATTTGTCGGCAAGCACATAGGTCTTTTTCCTATGATTAAAAATAGCTTTGGTTTTCTTCTTAGTAGCCATTTTATCAATAAAGCTATTCTTTTCTATGAACACCCACGGTTGCCATTTCCTACCAGTCAAGTCAGGATTAAAATAATTATTTGTAACTCTAGCATAATGTGACCCATTTTCATTCTTTTTAATAATTACTTTAGGGACAGGCTTTTTAGATTTTTTAGATTTTTCTTTATGCTTTTTAAATTGAATTTCATCAATGCTCTTAAGGACATCTTCGAATTTGGGTTTAATCTTCTTAGCAATTTCTTTTTTATTATTAACATTTTGTTTAGGCATAGCCCTTGCTATTTTTAATTGTTTCAACTTTAAAAGGCTTTGTGGGGGTAATGGGAGTTTTACTTTGAGATCAACCAAAGGTTCAATTGACGGAGGAATATATTTCTGAGCCCCTTTTGTGATCAGTGGGCCAGATTTTGATGAATTGGTATAATTTTTATAATTAATATTTTCGGTAAATTTACAGCAATTATTACTGCTGTTTTCTATAATAGTTTCGTTCAGTTGCGATGTTCTCATCCCTTTATGATTTGTAATTTTCAATAAAATAGAATTTTTTTCTTCTGATGTTGTTGATGACACTTCAGGAGAACTAGGTGTTTGAAAAATTAAAGAATCACTTTCTTGATTATATGAAAATACATTATCTACACTTGACTCGCACGAATTAACGGTAGCATCCTGAGTTTTCGTAATATTGTCTGCAACTGATTCTATATCAGTTTTATTATCAAAAGAACAATCTTCTAAAAAGTTTGCCTTCATTTCAATAAAATGATCATTGTTATACAAAGTATCGGTATTGCTATTTTCTAAATCTAATATATCCCTTGGCTCATTGTCGATAAAAAAATCATTATTTGACTCCAAAGATTTTGTCTTAGGATTTGTTTCGATACATTCTTCATATTCATCAGTTGAATGAGATTCTCTATTTGATAGTGTTTTATTAACATTCATTTGGGGAGTTCTATATAACGTTTCTACAAATTCGGCATCATCATTACACATTTTATCACCATATATATATTTCACTTTTTCTGTATGTTCGTACGTGCCGTTAAATATATTTGATGTGTCATTATCTGAAAGATTTTCCCCTTTAGAAGATGACGAGGCACTAAGACTTACATCTTGAGTGACATCATCGCTAACTACTGTTTCAATGCAGCCTATATCATCTACCCAAGACTTATTCATGGCACTTTCATCAGAAATCTCCAAAACAAAAGTTTCCGCAAGGTCACCGTTATTTTCTTCTGAGCATAATAAGATTTCTGCAGGTGGTATCATACTCTCTCCAATATGGGATTCTTGTACATCTGGTAGATCTTCTTCCGAAATTTCGGCAAAACAAATTTTATCTTCATCTTCTTGTGTTATAATACAGTTGTCATCAATTAATATACAAAATGATAAATTTTCATCGTTATAAATTGACGATATGGAATTGCGCCTATTGGTTTGGCTGTCGCAAATGTGTTCAGTTATAAAACGTGGATCACAAATATTAACCAAATCTTTATTTTTTCTCCGTCTTTTTGACCATGTTGAAGCTCCATTTTCTGTTTCTTCAGACATATCATTTATTAAGGCTATTGCAGAGTCCGATAATGATCTCTTTAGGGTTGGTCGCCGGTTTTCAAAAGGATAGCTTAAATTTGGTTTAATTTCATCACAAGCATTTTGCATTGAAGATTCGTCTTGCTCTGATAATGTATTCAGAGTGTCTGTTTCAAGGAATGTTTTACTATCTCGATCGGCTGTTTCATAAGCAAAAGTATTCTTATCCTCAACTTTACTTTCATCTTTACTACATGAATGTTTTGATTTTTCTGTCGATATAAGAGGTAATTGAATCACTTCACACTTTTCAGTATCTAAAACACGTTTTTCTTGTTTTTTGGTTTCGATACCTAGATTGCAGCTATTATGCAATTGTTCGTTTTTTGTTTGAGATGACAAGATTTCTTCAGTGAAATTTAATGTATTTTTCCTATGTTTAGGTTCGCAATCGCCCGGACATTGATCACTAGACGTATCAGATATGAATGTTGGTAAAACATTGACTTCACTTTTTCCAGCACTACGTAAATTTTTAGATTCATTCTCGAAGATTTCATCAGCAATAGAATTTTTTTCTGCAATATTTTCAAGCGGTTGGAATTCTTTACATTGCTCTGGGACATCTTCAGCGTCGTGTTCTTTACTACCAGCTTTCTTATTAGCCTCATTTGTAAAATTTGGTGAATGATCAACTTCAAGTAGTGTAGTATTACATGTTACTTTATTGTCACATTCTAAATCGTCATTAGTTACATTGTTATGTTCCTCAGCAATAGGTTTAAATAACGGGACTTGTGAACTGATGAGTTTATCTCGTTCTGATAAAACAACAATTTTCTTGGCATTTTCAATATCTTTAATATACAAATTCCCAATATCCTGACTTGTAACTGGTGATTGATCGACCTGATTTTGCTCAGCGTTACAATTTTTATTTTCGTGCTCTTTACCATTCTCATTACTGTGAGTTATAGTAATTTCACATTGATGAGTAGTCTTATCTTTAATTTTGCTATGGTTCTCTAACATATTCTTAGGAATCTCAGGCGCAATGTGTGACGAGTGAATCACTTCACTCTGTTCAGCACAATCAACTGCCATCTTATTTTCATCTTTACTATTTGCATTAGACACATTACTTTTTATTTTAGTGGAAATATTTAATGGTAAAATTTCATCACATTTTTCAGTTAAACATGTTACTTTATTTTTAACTTCAATGAATACATTACAATTCTTTGTTGAAGGAATTGGTAATTGCACTGAATCACTTTGTTTTGGGAAATCTGTACCTTCATTTATAACTTCACATAAATTATTACTCTTCCCGCTAGAAATATTAGACGATGGATTCTGAGTCGTATGTTCAACATGTACTACTGGCTTATTGTCTTCATTTTCATAAGTAGTATGAAACGTATTTTCATTCATGTCTCCCGGGGTTTTTATTGATTGAATGGGTTCAATATAAGATATATTTTTATGCTTATCTTCGTCGAAGCAAAGATTTTTATTAAGTGTGTTTTTAGTTACTATGTTTACTAAGGCATCAATATTATTTGAGCTAAGGAGGCATTCTGCAGGATTATCTTCACTGGTGGTAGAAGCAGAAAATTCGTTTATAGAATTATGTTTTGCTATAGATAATTCTTTAACACCTTCTGTCCTATGTTCATTTTTTTGTATAATATCACTATGTCTTATGAGTTTTTGGATCCACGGAGAAAAAAGTTCTTTCTTTAAATTACAGCTCTTAATTTGACATATATTTATTACATTATCACATGTCACGTTGAAATTATCTGATTCATATGCAGAATATTTCGGAGTATTGAAATTACATTTTTCATCTATAGTACCATGTAGATTATCAGTAAAATCTTGGTCATTTGAAACATTTTCATTCTGTTTTTTTGATTCTATTTCGCTATTATTTCGATTTGTCGAAACTCTATTGATATCAACATTTTGATTGCTTATTTCAGCTTTATTTATCACTGACACAAATTTTTCCTTAGATATTTCAATCTTATTGCTATCACCATTTGATTCTGTAGATGATAAATTAAAAGCGTTGTTTGTAGTAAGAATCTCGTATTTTCCACTGTTGGTTTCATCAATAATTTCTTGATTCATGTCCGTTGAAGGAATTAAAGTTTTGATGACCTCTATGTCATTGACAGTGTCATCATATATGTCACTTTTATCATTGGTCTTATCAATAATTTCTTGATTCATGTCTGTTGAAGAAATTGAAGTTTTTATGACCTCAATGTCATTGACACTGTTATCATATATGTTACTTTCATTGTTAGTTTTAAGATTATTTAAGGAGCACTCACTTAAATCTGACTCTAAAGTTGGATCTGTTTGATCTAATAGTTTTCTTGCGTCCATTTCACTAACTTCTTGAGGTAAATGCTCATCCATAATAGTTTGTATAACATTTTCAGTGTGGTTTGATTTGTTACCATGTTGGTTCGACAGGTTCATATTCTCCTTAATTGAGATTTCAGAAGAAATCACTTTTACATTATAAGGGTCAAAATCCATAATATTATCATTTGATTGCAGTATGTCTTTTTCTATTATAGGTATCATATCAGTTTTACGCAAATCACAATTATTTATGCCATTAGTACACGATATCTGGTTTTTTGTATCGCAAACACTTTTGGATAAGCTGAAGTCAATTGCCATATCATTTTCTTGTTCTTTTACATGATTATCACTTTTGTCTTCTATTTCACAATGTAACATAATTGAAGGACTCAAATTTAAATTATGATCCTTTTCTAAATTTTCAGAATTCTCTTCTAAAATCTTCACATTTTCTGGATTTTTTATTATTACACTGTCAGTACGTATTAATGTAGAATTCGATAGAGATACCTGTTCTTTAACCTCTGATTCCGCTTTTTTATTTTTTCTATATTTACTTAATTTTGAAACTTCTTTTTCATTAACATAAGAAGATTTTTCAGATTTATTTATTAAATTAGATTTATGGTCTTCTAAAGTCCTCTTTATGTCTTTTGATGTAACAACTGTGTCCTTATTGGCATTGATAAATTGTTGATTAACTTCAGGGAAACTTAGTTCAATATCATTGTCAAGTCTTGGTAAGGATGCAAGGCAAACTCCAGAATTACTTTCTAAATCTTGCAAACTATAGTCAGCTCTGATAACATTTGCAACATCATTATTTAAGCATGGAGTATTTATCAAGTTACAGCTTGGAATTTTACTATTGTCATTCATCATAATGACTTGTTTCGATACATTACAATTTCTGCCATTATCAGGTATATTGCTTAAAACGGGTGATTGATATGGATTAGACACTTTCTCAATTACTCTTTCTTCAAGAATATTTCGTACAGGAGCAGCAACTTCAACATTCAACATTTCTGGACTACATGGTTTTATTTCAAAATTACAGCCTACTTCTTTATGTATGACTGATTGACTTATTTTAGCTTCTACATCAAGTGGAGAAACTGGTCGTACTGGTATTGTTTTGTCTGTCACAATATTTTTTGGAGTTTGAAAGTTCCTCGATGTAGATGTCTTATTGACATTAAAATTATTTAAGTTAGAAGATTCAATTGCTTCTTCAAAATGTTTTAGCAACTCTATGTTGTTGTAACCTTTTATGTTATCTGGTAGTTTAGACACTTTTTGAATATGTTCATATTTATCGAGTTCTTCACTTGGAACATTAACTAATCCTAACACATAAAGTTGTTCTTGTGTTTTATCTTCAAATTGATTAGAAGATTTATTAGAACCATGATTGTAATTTACTGAAGCCTCTTTTGTACTATTGGCATTCTCATCATCACCTTCACTCCACATCTGTAAAAACTGTCTGACATCTATTCCTTTTTTGTCTTTAGGATTTGATTGTAATTTTGTTGCAAAAGGAGATGTCCGAACCATAGGTTGATAACTGTACCTCCTATGAATGTCATTCTGCATTATTCTATGCATACCACTCCTAACACTTCCAGTAGCTGAGTGACCTAAATATCCGCAATCTTCCACAGCTTGGTGGTGTGAACTATCATTACTAGTCTGTCTGTCTATATCCGATGGTGAGAAAGCTATTCCATTAGGAGAAAACTGGGGTGTCATTCTAGTTATATGATTACTACTGTTAATGTTTGGGTCATGTCGGATGTGGGATATGTATTCATAACCCTTAGGCAAATGGCTTTCTTTTCGATAATATGCATGTGGTGGAATTGGTTGCATATTGATTGTAGGGTAGTTGGGAACAATAACTTGACTTTTGACATGAGGTCTAGCAATATCATTCATGTAATAATTTTCTGGAATAGGATAGTTTTTATTTTGATTATCATAATCTAGATAAAGTTTATTGTTCTCATAAGGTAGTTTGTTGGCATGCATAGTTTTATCTGATGGATATGGATACAATTTACTTTGCATACCATTTGGTAGCACAGCTCCAAAAGCAGGATGTAACATTTGGTTTTGGTATGGAGTACTATAATTAATTTGTTGGTTAGATCTTTGGTAGCCATCAATAACAGGGTCATTAACTCTATTATCCAAATATTTCATTGGAACTTGTGGGTATGATGAATGGGTAGATAGTGGTTTTTGCAAATCATACTTATTACGAGGAAATGGAGGAGGTGGGTGGAATGGATTAGGGTAATTATTAACATATTCATACCTGGTTTGAGCATATCTCTCCTTAACATTTGGATATGGTTTAAACCGAATATTTCCATGGTGATAGAATGTCTCTGGGAAGAGGTGACTATTATCTTCATTTATGTTGCGTGGAGGTCTTGGTATTGACATTGATCTCGGACCAGCACAACTTGCATAATCAGGAAATTGGTACAATTCAGGAATACCATAAGGCCTTGCAGGCCTTATATTTACTCCACTGGGATGCCATATTGGTGGACAATTCTTAGGATTACTCACATTTGAAACACACATTTCACTATTTTTTTGGTTATCATTTAAATGATTAATAGAATAAGGCACATCACAATATTTGGGTTCAGTAAGGCCACCTAACTGGTTGCTTTTATCTGAGGGTGCACTTTTATCCAATGCAAAATTTGCATCTTCATTTGTTTTTACCGAGTTGTAAGTAGGTGCCACCATAATACGCTGCATGTTTTCTTGGAATGTTTGTCTTGGTGATATATTTCTTATAGGGTTCTGATAGGTTTTGTGAGGATATTCCGATGTATGACGGAACGCACTTTCCGCAGGTGGCCATGACTCGTAGTTGTTCTTTTTTAAATAAATATCGGTGTTTATTGGCGGTGGTAGTACTCGATCGGGGCCTATGACAGCACATGGCCGTGAGGTAGGGGTATCCTGTTTCGCTAAGGGGTTCGAGGATACTTCTGTAAAATTCTTATTGCTGCACGGAATCGTAGTTCCAATGTATTTACTCGAAACATCATTACTGCGATCACCATGGGCTGGTTCAATCCTCAAATCTTTAGCATCCATGGCCACAAAAATATATATTTATAATCTCACTGAAAGCTTTCATTTTTCTTAATTGTCCTGGTTTCGCAGTAGAATTTTAGAGTCCGAATACTACACGAAACTTCACAGAAACCATTCTTGAATATAAACATTCCATTATGACAACTGTCAAAACACTGCCACATAAACGATATACGTAATTTTCAATAATTTTGAACACAAACAGCAATTACTAAGTAAAACTTTGGAGACTATCCATTACATTCCTTGAAATAAAAATTGGTCAATATTATTTCCTTGGAGATACTGATATAATAGTAGGTAGGTACGTTCTTGTCGTCCATGTATTTTTGTTGTTTTTTTTAGATATTTTTTAATAGTAGTGGACGTGAGCAGGTTAAGACTTTTATAAAAAAATCATGTTCGCTCTGAGTACCAATAAAATTGGCCTGTCTATACAGCGTGTTTGGTAATACTTGTATAATCCCGAATATGGCACATACGGTATGATGAATAGAACCCAGAAAAATAATCATTAAGTCTGAAACCCAGCACATAGATATTAGATATTTAGCTTTTTTCTTCGAAGTAAAACTGTACGCTTTTCTTTTCTAATTTAATTAATATTTTTTTATGCCTTATAATTTTGTTAATAACTTGGTCTTAAATTAGGTAACCACTTTTAATATTATGGCCTTTTTTTCTTTTGTAACCGTAAAAAGCGTAAATTAAATTGTAATAATAAGTAAACAACCTAATTATCAATTTTGTCAGTAAAAAAATAGTATAATAAGTTTCTTTGAAATTTCATTGTTTAATTAATTAAAAAAATAACGATTTTTTTGTTAGGTAACCTAACACAGAATTTGATGACACAGAATTTTTGATTAAGATTACCGAGTTGCAATAATTACCTATGTAGTTTTGGTCATCGCTTCAGTGGCGCCCGAGACTTTCATCGGTGTACTTGTGAGTTTTCAGAATTTAGAAGGTCAACTTACGTTTTCGTTCTTTCGGGACTTTTGGTTTGTTTTTCATAATCGTGCTGTTTATCTGCGTGTTGTGTTTGTGTGCGGTCAGTACAATGAGTTCGTAATGAAATGTCGAATATTACGAGATGATATTGTGTTAGTGCATGTGACAGTAATCTTGCTGCGGCTCGGAGGTTTTATGACGAGCGCCACGTGTCAGGAAGATCTGAAAACCCTCGACGTATTCCTTTTTACCGGTGCTTCGCGGCACTTGTGAATCGGTTACATACTCGTACAACTGGTTCATTCCGTAGTGTACCACAGGAAGGCCAGCCGAACACCTATTCCACCGAGACAGAGGGTATGATTTTACGTCGAGAGTAACATGGTCTGTGTCGAGTCGAATGGAGATGTGTGTTTTATACGGAGGCCGGCATATCGAGACCCTGGGCTGATAAAGTGGAGGTGAAGTGTAGGTAATGTTGACAAGTGAGAGGTGAAAGAGTGATTAGAACGCTGCCTCTAGGTATGTACCTGTTTAAGCTTTAATTGTTTTAATTACAAGTAAACTCACACGCAGTCGAGTGCGCGTGTCAGCGACATCAAAGTGTATTCTAGGAAACGAGAGAGAGTGAGAGGTAATGAGAGAGAGAGAGAGCGCGCGAGTGCACCGGGACGGCACGCGTTAGCTTTCAGGGTTGTAGCATATGAATTGGAAACAAATAATTCAAATATTTGTATGAAAATCTCAATTAACGTGAAATTGTTTTTTGACATATTAATCGTGTTCTTTGTGGTAGGTTGTATGGCCATGTTTCGGGATTATACATGTATTTCCAAACATCCTGTATATAAAGTTAAATTTATAAAGTCAAACTTGGTCAATACTGGTAATAGCGGTCATATGTCCCCATAGATTAAGCATTTAAGATATTGTACAATGCGTTAATCATTTCAATAACATGTAAACTGAACTCTTTCATTCAGATAATTTTTAAAATATTGAACTATAATAGGTATATAAAGTAAGATAGATTCCTATAAATGTACTCGTACATTCTGGAGCTTCCCAATTCAGCAGTTTTGTCGCTAGAAATTTTTATTTTAGCGTACATATATTTTCGTCCGTATTTGACTTGGATTTTAGATTACAACTTAATGTGTATTATCCTGTAATAGTTTTTTTTTCCAAAAAATCAGTTTGTCCTATTTTTTGTTACTGGAAATAAAAATAATTTTGACAATGTAATCTCTAGCTAGTTTTCCTAATATATATCAATGCATTTCGCTGATAGAGAATTTAAGAAAACTAAATAAATATATAATCAGAAATGAATAAACGAATATTATTTTAACTTGTTTTTTTTACTTAGTCCTGATAGTAGGGTTCGTTTAACGAAAGCAGTCCCTCGGATCACAATATTTCCGCTTTAATTACAAAAGAATAAGAGTTATGCCATGCGATTGAGGAAGAATTTTAAGAAAAAGAAGCACTAGATGACAACAAAGATAGTTATTTCCGTTCCTTTTAAGTAACATATGAAAAAACTGAAATTCGCAAAGTACGAAACTTAGATATAAATACAAATATAAAAAAGTACAAATAGAATATCAGTTATTTATCGAATTTTGGAAATTAATTTACTTTTATACATGAAAGAAAACCGGAAGTGTTATCATGGAGAAATCAAGAAAGTACCATAGCAACATCTAGTTTTAAATCGGGAACTTTTTTTTAATACCTACTTCCTCGTTGAATTTATTATGTTCCTTTACACGTAACATAATAAATAACTTAAAACTTACGATTCAAATAAATTTGAATGTTAGATATTATAAGAAACAATATTTATTAATTTTCGATACTCAATTTACTTTTATTACATCTGAAAGAAAATTTGAATGAATATTATAGACAATTACCCGAAAATTGAGTGACATCTATGTAGTTTGATTGCAAGAACGAATTTTTATTTTTAAATACTTCCTCATTATAATGAAAATCAAAATGTATAGCACAAAGAACGGATTTTTTTTTTGTATTTGAATTGCAACGCAGTATTCATTTGAAATAACATTGCAATTATCTTTTTGTTCGTCGTGTTTTCTTTACTATTTTGAGTTTGGATGAAATTTTAAATGAATATTGTCAATAATAATAAATACGTTGGATTGGATATCGATACTAGTAAAGTTTATCAAAGGTTTATCACAAGCTGCCATTTATTGTTCTGATTAAAGAGTAGTATGGCACGCTAAAATTGAAAGCTATATAATAAACTCAAAACAGAAAGAAGCTAAATAAATTGTTAGATAACGTGTTACTCACATTATTCTAATCTTTATGGGTAATTCATTTTTCCCATGGAAACTTCATCATATGGCAGCATTAGCAGCTGTGCCACACGATCTACTCGAAAAATTTCCAACAAGTATTGGGTTCGTTCTCACTTGTGTCGAACAAATGATTTAACATTGTCATTAAACTAAGCCACGAAGAGAAACCAAGAAGGTTTTTACACATGTGCTAAGAATAAAATGATATATAGCTTTACTTTACTTTTTTGTACATTTTGTAACAGAAATCTTTCAAATGGAAGTGCTGGGAAGAACGGTCTGTATATTATAATTTAAGTTCGTTTGTGGTAAATTTTTGAGTTTTAATTTAAAATAAGATATTTATTTTAGTAATTAGTGTATACTTATATCTACGTCTACGGTAATCGAACCTTAGTTAGTATTTATCCCTTATTTTATCAAAAGAAGCAATGAAGATTATGATGAGAAACTGTGTTTTGATTTCTTTGCCCATATTGATTTTTATAGATTTTAATTTTAAAGTATTATACAAATTTTAGCAGTTCTTACTACAGATATAAGGTTCAAGGCATCTGGCAATACTGGTCTGTGGTGTGAGTATTTGTGTTGGAGCCACGAATGTCAAATTAAATGAATACCTAGGTCAGTATTAAAAAAAAAAAACGAAAGCACTAAAAAAGCGCCTACACTAGATGACGACTCTAGCAATAGTTGATTATTGCAGGAAACGAATTGACCAAAGATATTAAAGAGATATTAATTAAAGATAGTAACTAACGTATTAAAAAATTGAAATTTGAAAAGATCGAAACTTTGATATCAATACAAATACGAAAAAGTACGAAAAATAATACGAGTTGTTTATTGGGTTTTGAAAACTAATTTACTTTTAACTTGAAATATAACCGGAAAGGTTGTCATGGAGAAATCGAGAACGTCCTATAGCGACATCTAGTTTGATTTTGGAAAATAATGTTTTTTTTTTACATGCTTCCTCATTGTTAATTTGAGTCAAATTAACAATGAGGAAGCATTTAAAAAAAAACATGTCAAATTATTTGACATTCGTGGTCACAGAACAAAAATACTCGACGTTCGTGGTTGAGTACTTTGTGGATGTGCCTCTATTTCCCTATATAATAAAGTACTTTGTGGTTGAGCTGAAGGCATAGAAGCCAGGGCCGATAAAACCATTTTTAAAAAAGTGTGTGTTGACGTTTGTTAGGTTAGCTTTTGCTTCCGCTATTAAATTTTTAATATAAACCCAAATAAATTTTCCGGGAATGAAGTATTTATCTGTTAGTTTGGTTCTCACTTTAATTTTTGCTGGATATATTATAAACACTATATGGACATTAGCAGAAATATTTATCCCACCAAAATGTAGTCGTGGCGAAAGATGTTTTGCTTCGTATTTATCTGCTGATCCTATACAGCACCTTGTCCTATTCACTTCCACTAAAGAACATCCATTTATTGATGCAACCCGTGCTGATGTTACAAAAGTACACACAGCTATGAAATTCGACTACCGAAAACCTGCAGATATGTAAGCACTTATTTTTATTTATTTCCAATATTTCTGAAAGAAGCTATAATAATATTTAATTATTGTTTATGTGACAATAACGAGGAGAATATTTTTTTTTGCATACACTTTTTAGTGAGATAACTCTCAAGATTCCTAGGAAGACTCGAAATAATGGAACATTATTCATGCATGCAGTTTTATTAGATGACAAAAATTTGTATAAAGACTTTGAAGATATTTATCGTACAGAATCTGTACATACATTACCATTAATAGTACATGCTGAACCACAAGCAGAAACTTTTAACCTACTTCAGAAAAATGTAAGTAATACATTTTTGTACAACTGGGTGTTAGTATGACTTCAACTGCAACTAATTTTTTTTATAGAATATAATACATATCGCCCATGAAGAGTCAATAAATAATAACTGAAATTTTGTCAATTTTTGTTTTATTGAATTATTCGTTGTAAAATAGATTACTACACAATAGTGACAAAGATTTTGGGTTTGTTTCTTATTTTTTGTAAGATAAACAATAATTGCAATGTACTGAAAAAACAATATAATAGATTTGAAACGTTTTTTTCGTCTCCTTTCGTTTCGTTGCATTTTTGCAGTTATTATTTATTGACTCTTCATAGACGATATACACAAAGTGATAACAATGTTCTGATTTAACATTTTATTTCTCTTCAACATTGTTTTTAATTATTTTTAATTTGGTCACTTCTTATTATTTCATGTCTTCAATAGAATAAACAATCACTTAGTTATACATTTTGACTCTGTATTTCAGGCAGGTGGGAAGAAGACCTCACAGAATAATGTTAAACCTTTAGCACATCTGACCAAATTGGCTCCTCTGTCCATTTTGACTGATGATTTGAATCTACCGACCAAGAAGATTCCAGGAGAATTATACCCATATATTAGGTATTGTTAATATTATGACATTTGCATTGTTGTAAAAACTGCAAGTGTTATGTAGTACTGATTGCAAATGTCAAAAAAGAGTTTTAAATTACAAACTGCCTTTTTTCTCAAGGCTTTCTACATATTATATACTTTGAATATATGTATATTTTTGACAACTTTTTTGTATCTGAGTATATTTGATGGTAGTGGTAATTCTGTCATCATCATCATCAACCTTATACTTATATACTGGTCTTTCATTAGATGGAATGATTAGGCCATAACCTTTGGTATGGTTATGTTATACTGTCATTAAACTCAACCAAAGAATGTTGTTAATAGGACAATTAAGGATGTCCTACTTATTTGTTGCTTTTTTAATACTTTTTTTTAAATAGTATCTAAAAAAACGTCTCATTATAAATTCTAAATAAGTTGTTGATATAAGTAGAAACATAAATTATTTTTAAACAATATTTTTTCTTTATCTTGAAAACATTCTGAACAATATTCAAAACAGTCTTAATTTTAAGTATTTAGAAGATATTTATTTATACTGTAGTTCTTTAATTTAATTTCAGAGTCAGAGGAGGGAAGTTTTTACCAATAATCCAACAAAATGTACTTAAATTTCGAATGTCAAATCTGCAGCTTCTAAACAGCAGTACTACAGAGGCAAACCTCACTGTATCTGTGTCACCTACTTCATATGGGTCATTGCGATTGACACTGCATTTACGTTTGGCTTTGGAACAACTACAGAATCTCGGTTTCAGTAAACAGGATGTTGATGATGTTAAAGGAATATTTGCAGATACCAATCTTTACCTCCTGTCAGCTACTGTTTGTATAGCTAGTTGTCATGTAAGTAATTTCTGCAACTTATTAAATAGCTCAGGGATTCCAAAAGTCGTTGTTAATAAACCCATGGGGTTGAAAATGAGGGTTTGACTTCAATGAAAACTGATTTTATAGGCCAACAAAGTCTAAAAATCAACCTCTCTTAATAATTCTTATTTAAAATTTTCAAGATACTAAGTTGTGTTAGGTCAATTTGTTGTAAGAATTAAAAATAGTAAAAAATTTGGGAATCCTTGAAACAGTGAATAAACCAATATAACAGATATTTTTATGTTTGTGTTCCTGTTGATAAATTTAACAACATTCTTTATATATTATATCTATTTCAGCTCCTGTTTGATTTCTTGGCATTCAAAAATGATGTTTCATTTTGGCGCCGCAAACGTTCTTTGGCCGGTTTATCAGCGCGGTCTGTATTCTGGCGTGCTTTCTCTCAGTTTGTTATATTTTTCTATCTACTCGACGAGAGGACGTCTATGCTGGTTTTAGTTCCGGCTGGAATTAGTTTCGTCATTGAGGTAATAATACTAACAACATAATAATAATGTTAAAATATTTTTTTTATATTATAAACATTATATTCTCATTAATTTAACATATTCAGATGTGGAAGGTGACTAAAGTGTTACATCTGCGGTTTTCTTTCGTGGGATGGAAGCCTCGTGTATGGCGCGAAGAGATCGTTGACGCCGGTGAGCGCAGTACCGCTCAAGCAGATGCAGAAGCTATGCGCTATCTGAGTATGCTGCTCTATCCACTCTGCATAGCTGGAGCTATATATTCATTGATATATGAACCTCATAAAAGGTCATTCTCTTAATACTTTTATGATCGTGTTTATTTATGTGCTCGATAAATGGTGTAAAATATAATTTGCGGAATATCTCATACATACATAGATTTTCATATATACAGACACTGAACTGTTGCTTAACCAAAGTAGTACACGTATACACACGTGCACACACTCCTACACAATACATATGTAAACGCACATGCATTTAGTTTTATCAGTTTTATTTTTATTCTCTACCGCATTACATAATAAACCTTATGCAAGGAAGTTATTTATGAAAACACTGTCTAGGACCTGGTGACCTGATACGGGCCTAAAACCTCCACAGGCACCAGTCTCCCACCTGTGACGTCTGATAGGACTAGCACTCTATATTTTTCTGTCGTTCAGAACCGCCTTTTGCTAGAGCGAGAAAGACATTGTGTGTGCGATAGCACGCCGCGGAATCGTCGATGCGATAGGCAATACGTTATCTTTCTCGCTCTAGCAAAAGGCGCTTCTGAACGACGGAAAAAGATAAGGCGATAAAAAATCAATAACATGCTGCCAGATGTAGCTCTCTCTATCTTCATCACAGTGAAATATTTTCAGTTTATAGTGTTATGAATGTGGTTTATTTAAGGTTTGAAAATTCGTTTATTTGACTAATTTATAACAGTTTCGACTTTTAGGAATAACATTTACTGTGACAAATATGTTTATATTAAATCAATAGTGCCGTCCTGTTAACATTCAAAACGAATGAAACCACAACTTTAAAAAAGTTATTTGTTATTATTATTTTTATATATAAAAGGTAAAGGTGTATGACCGAACGATCGTCGGTTTGAACGTGATGTTTCAATTTTTATAGATAATCCAAATCATTTTTTGCGCGGCGCTACGTTTGCGTGAGCTTGTAATGGGCACAGATATCTTTTGTGTGACAGCGACGCTTTATTGGTAAAAACGTTTTGTGGCATAAGTAAAGTCAGTGTCGAAATGACATAGGAATAAAATATCTGAGACACGTATATTCAGTCAATATTGTTTTTTTTTTTTTTTTTTTTCAATACAAAAATGGAATCAATAAGATTTCTACACTAAATAATTTTGGTGATTCGGACACATGAGCAAATTCGAATTGAGGTTTTTACAGAATTGCAGGGCGAATCTGAAAATTGATTTACCTATTAACGATTCTGAGTATTTTGGTCAACAAACACGTTTTTACCAAAAGAAGTTATTTTTAAGAGTCCATTTTTAAAATCATAGCAGATGATTAATGTTTTAAAACAAAATAATGAATAATTTATCTAATATAATAAAAATGATAATCTATGCCAAATTGCATTAGTTACGCTTGTTACAGTTATTATTTGCTTAAATGATAATCTATACTAATTTGCATTAGTTACGCTCGTCACAGTAATTATTTGCTTATATTCAATTTATTGATTTTATTTATGTACTAGCTTTCGCCAGCGGCTTCGCCCGCGTGGACCTAGGGAAATGTTTAGTGGGATAAAAAGTGTCCTATTATCTAAGTCAGCTAATACCCTATTTGTATACCAAATTTCATCAAAATCCGTACAGTAGTTTCGGCGTGATTGACCGACAAACATCCAAACATCTAAACATCCAAACAAAGAAACTTTCACATTTATAATATTAATAGGATTTGGTTGTACCTCTTAACACGCACATAAAGTTACTATATACGTACAAGGATTATCCACACATACCGGCGCGCGCACAATGAGTTAATATTACTATGATATATTTTATTATGAACACGATTGCTTTTTGTACAGTTGGTATTCATGGGCCCTCCACTCTGTGGTGAATGGAGTGTACGCGTTCGGTTTCCTGTTCATGTTGCCGCAGTTGTTCGTGAACTATCGTCTGCGTTCTGTGGCGGCGTTGCCTTGGCGGGCTTTCATGTATAAAGCTTTCAACACGTTCATAGATGACGTGTTCGCGTTTATCATCACGATGCCTACCGCTCACAGGGTCGCCTGCTTTAGGGACGACCTTGTGTTCCTCGTCTACTTGTATCAAAGATGGTGAGTTATCATCGCTACCCTATTAATCTTACTCACTGCTACGGCTCATGCCTTTTCTATAGACTTAATCAAATTGAATAAGAGGGCCATTAGTTACCACGCGGGACTAGTTCGGATTGGTGGGTGTTAATGACTGTTGATGCAGCAGGACCAATGGCTCGAGGTGCCTTCCGAAGCACGGTGGAGCTCGAGATAATAAATGTTTGGTCACCCATCTTATGACATTGCCTTGCTGAATATTAGACAATATCACGTACGTTGCCCAGATCATAAAGTAAGTAACACCCAGATTTAAGATAATATAGAACATTTCATTTGCCCCAACCTACAATAAATGATTTGGAATTGTGTGAGCCACTTGGATGTTTTGAATTTTTATATATAAATCCATATAGTTATACAGGAAATAGTTTGTGAGTATTAAATAAACAAGATAATTTTAACTTTTAGGTGTAATGTTTTTTATAGTGAGATAATTCACAGATCTTCCGGCAGATCTGCCACCAAGCCTAAAGTACAATAGTAAACCTTACCTTCATTGTTTTAAGGTTGTACCCAGTTGACAAGTCGCGAACAGATACTGCTTCTAGCATGGATGAAAACCCGGATGAGGTGGAGCCCATCAAGGAGAAGGCAGAGTGAAATGGCACAGGTTTTATTACATTCCAAATCTTATGTTGAATTCACAGAGTTCAAATTTATTTATACATAACAATATTCAAACTAGCAAATGCCTTATGAGATCTTATGCGATATTATTACAATAAGGTTACATTCCAAATGGCCAAATAAAGTCATTGTCGTTTTTCATACATTTACATTTTGAAATATTTATATGAGATAAAGTAAATAGAAAAAGAAATATAATAATAAAGGGGTTTCGTCTGACTCTCTAGCCATGACTCCAAGCTATAGGGTAAGACATGCATAAAGATATTTCATTTCATTTTATTACAAATGTCTTTAAGTCAGACGACTACGTTGGTAATACTTCTGTCGAATATTTAATTATCATTCCTTAACATTCGTTCGTCGTTATTGAAGTATATGTCAAAGTAGTGAAATGAAACGAAATCTCGCAATTCCATCGTTAAGCTGTCGTATTCTAAGGCTTGAGTGTTACGCGGTACGTCTTTATTCGTAATGTGAATGTGAGTGTTAATATTACAATGAAAACAAGATAAATTATAATTTGTGCAAAAAAATAAACAGAGGCTGTACTGGTGCTATTAAGACTGCGCCGTAGTTATGGTTTTTGAATAAAAAAAAAGTAATATATTTATTGTAGAAAACTAGAAGACAACTTATAGGCTATGAATTTTGTAACTTTAATTAAATTGATTTTGAAAGTATTATACTAAAACTGATAAATCAAAAGATTATTTTGATTAAAATGATTTGACATCGAGCGCTATTCTAGTTTTATAGGTTAATTTAAATGTTTTCATTAGATTCGAGTTATAAATTATAGTGTAGATAAAACTATTTATTGTTAGCATCTAATATCTTGAATTTGAATTCATGTTTTATTTTTATGAGATAAAGTAAATATGTAAACAGCTATTATAGACTGCATAATAATGAAATGATACCTAAATAGGGATGGGTAAAAGAAAAAGAAATTCTATTTAGTCCGTCAGTCAGATAATAGAAAAATATTAGATACGTATTTTTTTTACTTCGATTTAACAAGAAATAGCTTAGATAACAGGCATTAAAGTTGAGGAGTGGGGGCTCGCTACGTCACAGCTTTGTAGAAAATGCACAAAATCGTGATGCGACATTTTAACTCAACGTATCGTCGTAAATTATTGAATATGCAAAAAATTAAAAAAAAAACGAATTTTATATTTTTCAGTACCTGACGGACAGACAAAAAATTGTTATCATCCCTATTGGGTAGAACATTGTGTTTTTTTTAAACAATGTATTTATGTATGTTTTGTGAATCTGTATTTTCCATGGAAAGCAATATTAATAATAATAGCAAAATCAAGAAATAAAAAACGTTATTGCAATTTTTTTATCAGGGGCAAGTCGCACTAAGTTAATTATATGAATGTTAAATTAAAAAGGAGATTGTGGTAAATGTGTATAGATATAATCAGAGGTTATAGCGAGTGAGTATGCCGGTAACGGCGCTAATGTAGATGTGTGTAGTATTGACAAAAAAAAATCCGTCATATTTGGTATGAAATTGTATAATATGTGGCAGTGTTACGAATCGGCGATCACAGGAACTATTTATTTTTATGATATATTGTATGTGTTAATTAATAAAAAATCAAATTCCACAATAGTAGTAATATTTGAGGGTGCTTACATAGACATTGGAGGCGGGTGTTACCCCAAAGGATTACGAATTTTAGCCATTTAGACTGGGATAATTAAGCCTGGAGCGCATTTACTACATTTTACTAATTTTATTTTACCTTTGTGCAATCGTTACTAATCTTAGATATACAATGTACCATTGGTTCCCAAAATGTTCCAATATTGGATCCCACCATTTAGCTATTTTAGAGAAAAAGTGATCTTATAGTGTGACGATTAGCCTATTCGGGCCAATTCGCATTCGCTCGCGATCAATGGTTTGGGAATACTGTAAAACATAATATCTCACTTCCTAATGCGCTGCAGTTTGTAACCGCTACTCGGTAAACAGTTTTATCTTATGGTGGTACTTTTTGTAGATAGAGCTCGTCGTCCTTTTCCATATAAATTTTTTAGAGTAGGTTTTGTAATGTGAGGTGGATTGTTCGCTCTTAAATGTGGACGCGCGAATTATTATGCGTCATGCTCATAAACTGTACTCTTCTAGATGGATCTGCTCTAGTTAAGAATTTGTATAGTGTAAGCTATATATAATAATGATAGATCTGCGATTCTATGTGACAGCATTATATGAAAGGTTTTTGGTTTCAAAATTAAGTCAATTTTTAAGACTAAACTATAACTATCAATTAACAATTCTGTATGAAATATACCTGTGGGAATATAATGTTTTACTACGTCTTCTGTCTTTACGAACAGACTATGATGCGATCCAGTGATCTGATCGTAAGCACCCTGTAGAAATTAAATATGTAATAGTTATGAATGGGGCATGTTCATTCTTCCTTTTGTGTTCTATACATCCAGAAAAATGAGATGCACTAATTAGAGCTTGTTATAAGGTGTTAAAATTTAAGTAGAATCAATAATTATTTGTTTCACAAAATGTTGTTTGTTGCATCTAAGGTAAGGTCGAAAATTATAATGGCACGTTGTGTCCAAAAGAAATATTGAAACGCCAGTGATACGCTATAATTACGTTATAAATTGCGTGAGGTGTTTTTAAAATTTTCTGTCCCTCCCTCCCCCCCTGGTGAGATGTCGTGAGATTTTATTCAACCCCCTCCCCCATCCCCCAATCTCACGTGAGATTTTTCAAAATGCAATTTGATGAATACTTGCGAGTATTTGCCTTGTTGTAGTATCGAGTATCGCTTTTGAAAGTGTCAATACCTACTCGGTATCGAAAGTATCGTTCGAGCCCTACAAGTATGGTAGTTTGACATTCAGTAGATGTATAGCGTCGAAGTATGAATGAAATTATTTTCTTTTGAACGAATTAGTGAATGATCTTAATCGTATACGATTACGCTTAAGGTTAAATCTAAAGCATGTACAATCTGGATGAATGATGGATTTTTGTTTCAATCAGAAAAAAAATTGCGTGATATTTGCCGAGACCCCCCTCTCTCCAACGTAAGATTAGATGAGATTTGCCTCGACCCCCTCCCCCCCTTAAACATCTCACGTAATTTATGGACGCCCCCTTATGGTATGTCAATAAAACGGCTTTAAAACAAATGTAGCCATTAATTCATTACTCTAATTACGTTTAGCAGAGGGACGCGTGAAACATTCGCTTGGGCAATAATATTGATTCTGTTGCACAAACTAGACTAAATTTATGTTTATTTCTGCCAAACTGTATTTTCAGAAAAGGGGCCGTCCATAAATTACGTCACACAAAATTCAGGACTTTTAACCCCCCCCCAACTCTTCTGTCACCTATTTATCTACTAAATATTGTTCTAATGTCACATTTCGTCGACCCCCCCCCCCCTCCTAAAGGGTGACGTAATTTATGGATGACCCCTAATAAAAGTAATTTTTTTATGTTGTAGTATACAAGAGTTTTTTTTTAATTTATTTGATTGTGAAAAAACATTAGCGAATCCAAATTAAAGTTAGTATTTTTTAGCATAGAGAGTTGTACAACAGTTTGGCACCAATGTCTACTCGATCTTAAGTAATTTTCTGTATATTCGAATTAACTATTGTTTTGCCAATCATGATGCTCAATAAATACATTGTCATTTTGAAAACTATTGTTTTTTTAGTATATTTGAAGGGCTGAGTTTTAGTTTTATGCAAATAATATATTTGTTTTTTTGCGAAGTGAGGCTCAAGTTTTTGTTAGGAATTAGTTCTTAATGTTATTGTAACTTGTTATTTAAACATTCCATCATTCGCCGATTTACGCGATGAGATAGTTTAGTTGAAATTGAAATTTCAAGTAATTTAATATATCTTGTTATTCTGAAATAAATGTAGGTAATTTTTTGTAAAACATTGAATCCAGAACTTGTTAAATAGCGACGGTGGCAATGTATTGGGCCTAGTTCATGCGCAGATTTTAAATGTAATCCCGTCGAATGGTTTCAGTGGGAGTTGTTAGTAAAGCAATCAATCGATAGTACATTTTTAGGTTATCTATGTAAAACTTATAGAATGGAAGTCAAGTTAAAAATGAATTGCGAGAATATGATGTTTGAAGTAACCTGCTGCTGAATAAATGAATAAGCTTCCAATTCACAAAACAATGGTTTGCATTTTGTGAATTCACCATGATGTGGACTAAAATGTAGAATCACAAAAACTATTTGTGATTTCACTATGATGTGGACTAAAATGCGTTCGCAACTAAGTTTTCGAGTAGCTTCTATATTTACTTTGATTTTTACGGAGTAACGTTATATGGGACGATAATACATACAATATATAAATGTTATTTACATGTATAATTTGGTTATACACGGTGATTTTTCTTTGGGCTTTAGATAAGACCGTAGGGGGCAAACGCCGTATGTATGAAATGATGTGTGCAAGAAAAAAATTGCAGTTGCATACATGATATATAATTGAAAAAAATATAAAAAGATCTATATTTTATTATTCCATGAAACAAGTGTGTATTATTAGGTTCTGATGTAGCGCCGTTTAGAATAAGCTACTGCTCTGTTTTGGAGCCAATAATAATTCATATTAAAATTAAAAAAGAGTGTAATCAACTGAAAAGGAGAATTTTTTAATATTTAGTTGTACTTCTAAATGGTTCCAAATTCAAAGAAAAATTACGGCTTATAATATTGATATTTTGTATTCACAAACGGACTGTTATTTATTAATGAAATAAAATGAAGCTTAAATATTATAAACTAAAAACGTTTTCTTTTATTTATCGAACTAATTTCTGAACTACACCATTACTGAATTACTAATTAATTACCAATTTTAACTGACAACTGTGCTAAAGCTAACAGTTTTTAGGAATCCGTACCCACGAGTGAAGAACGGGATCTTTTTACTAACACTCCGCTGTCCCTATCCGCTTCCTATCCGTCCTTCCGTCTATATCTGCTTCTATCACCAGGCTGTATCTCATGACCTGTTATAGTTTGGAATTTTCACAGATGTTATCCAACGAACGTAATTTTTAATTTGTTTCCGGTACGGAACTCGTTGTGCGATCTTTTATCAAAAGTCAAGTCCACAAACGAGGGTTGATTGTGGATCTGAAGGTTTTTAATTTACAATATGACGTGTATTTATAGACATCTGTTTACTACAGGTTTCTTAACTTCACATGATTATTTTTACAAAGGGATTCGTTCCAAGCAGGCTAATTTTGAGTTTTGTTTGTTTGCACTATGAATTTGATTCTAAATTATGGTTTAATCAATTGTGAGTTTTGTTTTTTTTTTTTTATATATCTATTGTTTTGTGTATCCGTTGATGTAAGCTGGCGGGTGGTGTGGAGATTTAAGTGTTTTAAGTGATTAAGAGTTTGGGTAGGATTATTAGTGGTTATATATTTTATTGAATATACCTATAGATATATTATATTATATTATTACAATATTATTATATTTATCTTTATTTATATATTTTAATGTTATTTCATGATAATACATATTTTTCTGCTGACGATGAATCTGCAAGTGCCTCCAGCTATGATAGTTTTTCTTCTGCTGCTGACAATTTGGGTGATTTTCTTGGTCGAACCTTCTGTAAATCTTCTAGTTTATTGAATGTATGTCATATCAATGCCCAAAGTGTTCCTTGTCACTACAATGAACTGCTTGATGTGTTTTCCGGACCGAATGTCCACGCTATTCTGATCTCTGAGTCTTGGCTGAAACCGCATCTCGATTCGTCGACCTATTCACTTCCTGACTTTATTCTCATCCGAAATGATCGAACCAAAACAGGTGGTGGTGGAGTGGCCATATATTTGCGTAGCGTATTTACTTACAAAATAATAGCTTCTTCTAGTTCTGACTCATGTGCCGAATTTCTCTTCCTAGAAGTTGGAACTGGTCGTGACAGGGTAATTTTGGGTGTTGTTTATTGTCCCCCATCTATCAACTATTTCACCGAACTGGAAACGGTTTTGGAATCTTTGGGTTCTGAGTATGCTCATTACATCATCATGGGAGATTTCAATACCAATCTCCTTTTACCTAACTCTCCCCGATCCCGAAAGCTTCTGAATATAGTTCAGTCATCCAGCCTTCAAATCCTGCCGCTTCAATCTACTCACCAAAACATAGGTGGTGACGACTCCTGGCTGGATTTAATCCTAATCTCGAATCCTTCCCTAGTATCCTCTCACGGTCAACACATTGCTCCTGGATTTTCTCATCATGACCTTATTTTCCTTTCCTATCTCCTTAAACCTCCTAAATCTATTCCTAAGGTTCTGTATAGGCGCTCTTTTGCACGCCTAGATGTTGAAGAACTTCAAAAGGATGCTTCGTTAATTAATTGGGAGCCCCTAATAGAAGCGCCTTCAGTCGACGAAAAAGTTCGTATCTTTAATTGTATCGTTACAGAACTGTATAATGCTCATGCTCCTGTTAAAAAAATTAAGTTAAAGAGGTTACCAGCTCCATGGATGACTAAAGGCATTCAAATGGCGATGAGGCGTAGGGATCGGGCGTTCCGTAATTTCAAGAAAGATCGTGGAGAAGAAAAGTGGGGTCTCTTCAAAGTCGCTAGAAATCGGTTAAACCAGATGATACGTAATGCAAAACGCCGCTACATCCTCAATAATATCTCTTCCTCTTCTCCTGCTGATATCTGGAAATTTCTTGGAACTCTAGGCATCGGCAAATCTCGTCATTTGGAACTGCCTACTTCGATCGAATTAAATGACTTAAATCGACATTTCTCAACTACGTCGAAGCTAGATCGGGCAACTACTACAGCTGCCATTGCTTCTATATCAGCTTTACCGCGTCTCAACATTCCCCTTTTTCACTTTTCACCATTCACATCGTCAGACATTAAAAAAATCGTCCTTTCCATTAAATCTAATGCTGTGGGGTGTGACAACATTAGTCGTCGCATGATAATTTTAATCTTGGATCACCTTCTCTCTGCAATTACACATATAATAAATTTCTCTCTTATTTCTGGAGTTTTCCCTTCTCTTTGGCGTAAAGCTTATGTCCGTCCTCTTCCTAAAGTCTCTAATCCAACTGACCCTAACCATTTCCGTCCCATCTCCATCCTTCCTTTCTTATCCAAAGTACTTGAGGCTTGCGTTCACCAACAATTTTCGCAGTTTGCCTACAAAAATTCTATACTGAATCCTCTGCAATCGGGTTTTAGACCAGGACATAGTACAATCACAGCTCTTCTCAAGGTAACTGGCGATGTTAGGGCAGGTATGGAGAATGGTAAAATTACTTGCTTGGTCCTCATCGATTTCTCCAATGCTTTTAACACTGTTAGCCATGATATCCTTCTCGCTATTCTATCTCACATTTTAGTGTCTGACGATGCGTTGAAGTGGTTCTCGTCCTATCTTCGGGAGCGCCAGCAGATGGTCCAGTCTGGTGAGTCTTCGTCATCCTGGTATAATCTGGAAACTGGTGTTCCTCAAGGCGGCATTCTTTCTCCTCTTCTTTTTTCCATTTTTATTAATTTTATCACTTGTAAACTTCAGTGTTCGTATCATCTGTACGCTGATGACTTGCAGCTATACACTCAGGCAAATGTTGATAGTTTAAACGATGCAATTGATGCTCTGAACAGAGACTTAATCTCTATAAAGTCTTGGTCGGAAATGTTTGGTGTTGCTGTCAACCCCACAAAATGTCAGGCTGTATTGGTGGGCGGCTCTCGAATGACAACTAGAATCAATAATTGCGATCTCCGTGCTTTGGTCTTCGATGGCGTTTCGATCCCATTTAGCCAAAATGTGAAAGATCTTGGGTTATTTATCGACTGTAACTTAAACTGGCAGGCCCAAGTAGCAAATGTTTCGAAAAAAGTTACTGGAGTGCTACGAGCTCTTTACCGCATGAAAAATTTCCTACCTATTAACATTAAGGCAATGCTAATGCAGACCCTAATATTTCCCATAATCGACTATGGTGATGTATGCTATCTCGACTTGAATGCAGATCTACTTAATAAACTTGACCGTCTTCTGAATAACTGCATTCGATTCGTTTACAATCTACGAAAGTATGATCATGTGTCTGAATACCGATCATTACTCAAATGGATGCCCATTCGGCAACGCAGGCAAATGCGAACTCTAACCACCCTTTTCTCATTACTAGATTCACATAATGCTCCTTCTTATCTTACTCCCCACTTTCAATATTTGTCCACAAGTCACACTAAAAATCTACGTTCTGCTTCTAACCGTTTGCTCATGTGTCCTTCTCATAGCTCTGATGTACTTCATTCTTCCTTCTTTATTAAATCTATTCTCCTATGGAACTCTCTTCCTTTAGACCTAAGAATGTCTACTAGTCGGTATGCGTTTAAAACTAAGTTACGCAGCTATCTTTTAGAGCAAGCAGATTCCTTTAATGGTTAATCGTGTATGTATGTATTTAATATATTATATTTTTATTTATGTATATATGTATGTTTCTATGTACAATATTATATAGTATGTATCTTAAAGTATATATATTAATTAGGTTGTCTAGTTTAGTATATTCTTATAATTGTGCACCTGACCACGTATTCTTCTCCACATTACCTTAAGGTTGACTGGCAGAAAATGCCGCAGGCATTAAGTCCGCCTATGTACATTTGTGCAAATAAACAATTATACACGTGACCTTGTAAACTTATAAAATATATATAAATGTTTTTTTTTATTGCCAAAATACAGTTGTTCTCCTGCGTGTTTTATAAATAGTTGTTTATTACATATTCAACGACGACTTGTATTCACGGCACGCTGTTATCACATTTAAACAAGTTTCTACCTTCCACAAATAACATTTAAAAAACGCAGATCTAAAGTCATTAATTACGTTAATCGGATATTGGTAATCATTAGGATGATTAGCTATCATCACTGTTGCTACCAACGCGATATGAACGTACCTAATTGTAAGATTAAATATATTAACTACGTCTAGCCTAAAAATTAGTGTTATGACAAAGCGATGTCAACATTGCGATTATTATAATGCGTCGGTATGGTCGTGTCGAAGTGAACCGTCTGTGATTTGTTTATAAAATATTATTTCGTGAAAAAGTATACAAAATGGATATCTTCGATTTGCTGCTAAGTGTCGGAGTGATCACCGCTACATTGGTGTTTTACTTAATATTGTTTAAGCGAGCACCTAAGATGCAAGGAGAGTATAGAGAACCAGGTGGGTGGTTGTGGATGTGTTGGTGTTATGCAATTCTGTCTACTACCGGATCCAGATAAAATTAATTTCGATTAGTATACGCGTGTTTTAGATAAAGGATTAGAATCGCCCGGATTAGAATGCTGATATACTTATAGGTAATTATTTATCTGTATACTCAAGGTCACTTATGGTAAAACATTTAGTCACGGCATGTTTGGTTCATCTAATTTGTGGCCGGTCAGTATAGTAAATGAACTTTTCTATATTATTTCGGATCTCGGTGTTGTATATTTGTTGATTCAGTGTCATAGTACAATTGCTTTAGTTACTTCATTTATTTGAGTAATATCTGTGATGTTGTCCAATATATATTTATGTTTATATTTTTTAGTTTATTTAAGTTGATCCTACATTATGAATCTATACAATGTCTAGATGTCAACTTCTATACTAATATTTTTAATAGGAAAGATTTGATTGTTTGTTTGTTTGCATTGAATAGGCACTGAATATTTGCATTAATTCTTCTTAACTACTAGATTTATTTCAAATTTCTTTCACCTACCGAGTTACAATAGAAGCTATATCGTATCTGTCGGTGTATATTACTATGAATTGCGCGGGTGACGTCTCGGGAAAACAGCTATCATCCTATATAGAAAAAATAGGTTATCACAATACGCCTCTTGCAAATTTACGAGTATATTCTCAATTTATCGCATATATTGACTTACTCCCGGTTTCAGTACAACCGTTCGAAGCTGGTGGGCGCCTTCCGATGATAGTGAAATGCAACAACGTAGATTTGTGAAGTGCTATGGCAAAGAGGCTTTAAATATGGTGGTGGCTAAAGATCATGACTGATTTAACGTGTTTTTTTAATATTTATATGTTGTCCAGGTTGGAATTATTCCTTAAAGTATTTATTCGCGCGGTTCTACGTAGTAAAGCGATGGAAAAAGGGTATGAGAGCACGTGGCGACTCGGAAGTTTCAGAACTGCCTCGTGATGGCCAGTTCGAAGGTTGGGATGGCATACGTTTCCGCACTACGTCGACGGAAGGTGACATGGTGCTGTTGGAGATACGTAGGCTGTGCGGACACCAATCCCTGGCGGAGGTCACGGTGCATGTCAGATTATCAGATGGCACTAATTACAGATTGCCACGTAAGTTATTCTCCCTTATGGAATATTTCATAAAATCAGGCGTTATTTTGCGAAAGTCCATTGCTATAACCGTGAATTTATGATATCTAGCAACTTGCACACCCAGTCAGTCAGCAAGACCTGCTTTGTACAGCCCACATACAAATTCACATGTAGATACATACGGCAACAAATCTCGCAAAATCATCACCGAATCTAGCTCAATCACCACTCGATTCATGTTTCGCCCCTTTACGGAGTATCCTCAGGCGTTTTTAGACCTTACAGTGCGTCATAATTCATCTGTTTAAAAGAAAAGAAACTGAAGCCCATGGAAAACACTCTTGAAATATAAACTTTATTATGTTTACGTTAAGGTTTTAAGTCAACAAAAACTGACGAATTCTCGTGATTCTACAATTTACTCCAATTGATCTTAAACGGTAATCTATTGATTGTTAAGTTTTAAATTGATTGTAAGGATGTACTGTTGTGTACAAAATAAGTAGTAGTCCAGTTTCTTCTCAAAAACGGAATTTTACACATTTTCCTCAACGAATTAAAATCATAGTTGTGTACGTTCCATGATGTTAATGATGTTAATGATTAATCTATTAATTTATTGATTCATTAACCACGATGGAGGATCATGTGTGATTCCTCAATTTTCGAAATTATTAGAGGAAATAGAATTATATAACAGATATCAACTAGTGTTATTTTAGTCTTTCCTAGAACAGGAGAGGAGAAAAACGGACAGTGACTATTCCATTAATCACGTAATGCTTTTCCAGCATTTACATCCCCCTTGTGATCATTGTGTTTTGTGACGAACACCCCTCCCTCTTTCGAGCCTCACGTGATTAATGGACGGCCTCTTATCTGTATAAGTCTGCGTTTTGTATGATTTGATTTGTTTGTGATTTAGAAGCTTAGTCGTAAGTCTTTTTTCGTTAAACAAAACTTATCGATTAATAATAAAGAAAAATAAATAATACTTTATTTTGATTCTTTGTACTTTTTTTACTGTAACTATAATAACTAATGTACTTTATTTGGAAAAAAAGGTGGCAACCAGTGGCAACCCTAATTGCGATACAGAGGTGTATGGATAGCGGCAGTTTTTTTTAAAATGAATAAAATTATAACCGCATAGATTTTTACCCTTAATCTTTTACTTATTTATGATGCACTAATCCCTATTAATAATTATAATCCCCATTAATAATTATTAAAGAACCTTATAAGAACAGCTCGGTGTTAAGCAACTTTCGCAAGGTTCGCCCACGGGATGGATGACCAAAAATGATTATCTCGAGTTACTCCATGCTTTGGAAGGCACGTTAAGCCATTGGACCCAGCTGTATTTGTAGTCGTTAATATGAGGAAGGCCTGAACCCCTGCAGTGGGGACGAAGGGCTGATGATGATTGATGATAAAAAGGATCTTGTAAGAGTTATAAGGTACAAATTGATATTTTCAGGTCATCCAGACACTGTCACAGGCACTTGGGTGAATACCCCAGACGGGTGGAGTAGTGGAGGACTGAAGATACAAGTTTTGGAAGCAAAAACAAGGCTAAGAATATTATACAATGGTTTGCTGACTCGTGACGATGGAGTTACGCAACATGCGCAAATGAACCTTATGTATGTAACTTTAAATCACCAAAATTTTATACCCTATGGTGTATCTATACTAATAAGTAAAGAAGGGCCTACCACTGGTTAGGGAGCTGATGGATAAAAAAACGCATGTAAAGATAAAATATTTGATTTTTTGTTTGCATTGAAAAGGCCCCGAAAGTGGTAGCTAGTGTTTTAAAAATTACCCTGTATTTTCAGTTGGGCGTCCGCATCGCACGTGATGAGGTATCCTGAAGACTGGAGCGATCAGTTGGCCGCTGAAGCTCTTGCTTTAGAGCCCTGGCGTGACGGCAATTGGAGTAATCTACTGTAAGAATATCAATTATCACATGTATTATTAATGGCGAAAAACTATCTTCTATGTAAAACAGTGTTCCTAGTTAATAGTAATTACATTTCTTAATTAAAATTGTATTAACGAATATAGTAATATATAGGAACCTATTTTTGACCTTAGACGTCGGAATTTAAATTTAAAATCGATTTAGCAGAGTAATTTAGTAGACAAACACTATTTTTAAAGAAAACAGGAAATATGTATAATTTTCAGCGTTCTATACCTGAAAAGCTACCTTTATAAACTCGTGTCCGGCCGTTCGTTCGTATTGGCTATCCAGTCATTGTTTTTAAAATTGCATCGCTTCGGACTAGTTGCCATGCGAAATTAGAATAGGAAAATCAGAAATTATTCAATTTAGTCTGTCAGCTAGAAAATAGAAAAATTAGATACGTATTTTTTTTTGTTTCAATTTAACAAGAAATGGCTTAGGTAATAGGCATTAAGATTGAGTGGATTTTCGCTATGTCACAACTATGTAGAAAATGTACAAGAGTGTGATGTCCCGCAGCATTTCAATAATCTAGTAGACGGACAGACAAACAAAAATTTGTCATCATCTCTATTTGAAGCTAGAAGAAAAACACATTTACTTTCTGTAGAGAAAAGTGGAAAGAGGGGGGTTGGCACCAGTGGGGTAGTGCACAGGGCCGGCTGCAGTTGTTCGACGGTGTGGGGGTGCCCACACGCACTGAGTACCTGCGCACGCGTGGGCTGCGCGAGCGCCGCTGGATGCCGCAAGCGCAAGCACTCCGACGCTCTGTTTCTATCATCGCGCTCGCGAGAGATGGGACAGCTGTTCAGATCCGTGCACACTCCTACAAGAATATTATAACGCAGTGAGATTTGTAGTTGTTATTATTTTACTGGGTTGTAGACCATCACATTACTTGCTTTAGGTTAGAATTCGTTACCTCCTTTCACAGAGCTGAAGGCGGCAGATGACACAGAGCATTTACTTTAAAACAGATAAATGGTGACATTAGCATTCTGAAAGAGGTGAACAAATGAACATAATATGTTTTCATATAAATTTCTTTCGCTTCTTTCGGCGCGTTCCATTCTAATCGATTAGCGTTTACCTCTTTTGTAAAACTTACAAAGATGAGAAAATACTCTAGTACTTAAGTTCTGCAAAGTTAATTCTGTTTCATTTCGAAATTTATAAACCTAGCACGGATACGTCGCCCAATCCGATTGATTCATGTATCACGCCATCAGGTGATCCACCAATATCTACGCGCCTGACACCCCATAGAGTATGAGTGAGACGGCCAGCTCATGCATTGTATTTTAATAGTACATATGTCTTCGATTTTGTAGGTAGATCTACTCTGCGCAAACGAATATTATATATATATGTTTGAAATACTCGTAAATATACGAAATTTCGTTTATATTTTAAAATAGACCCTCAGGTGTCATTTTAATTAGTAAGAGTTATGTATATTACTCAATATTAAATACATTTTCAGATATGTTTTTGGCACGGTTCGCTATCCTAATTCTGTCGTGAAAACTATCACCGGTACCAGTCTACATTTGCCTGATTTTTATGAGTACCCCGGTGCGATACCTAGTGTCTTTACGCTTAATGTGGAGAGTAAGTAATTTATATTTTAATTCTCTCGTATTCTATTTTGTCTTTTCTCGTTCGCTCTGCTCCCATTTTTACGAAGTTACTTTGTTCACTAAATTCTTGTAGTCTCAGCCTAATAATATATATATATAGAGAATAAAGATAATAACCCACTACGAGATATTTCGTTTTGAGTATGTGGCGATGCGCCATCATTATCTCACCATCGTAGATTTCTCCCTAATTCACTTCTTAATGTAATTTTGTACTCGCTGACACATTTCTTTGTCTATAGGGACGCTTCAACAATAAGTTTGTTTTATTGTATTCTATTGTTAGAATTTAAAAATAAATTTTAAGTATATTTTATTTTACAAAATTATAAGAACCGAACGCGGATGATGGAGCATCGTATGAAGTTATTTCTCAGTAAATTAAACGCCAACTTCATTGTTGCGAGTGCAACCAGTGCTCATGTTTATTGAAATGTGACGTTATAACTCGAAATATTACGTATCTGATTGTTTTCGCGGGACAATTTAACTAAATTAATAAAAAGTGTTTTTCTTTTACTTCATAACAAATTTTGGAGAAAAATAAATGTGAGATGTGTGTATGTAAGTGGATTAATGTAAATGGAAATGTGAAATGTAAGTGGATTAATATGATTGTGTAAGTTTTAAAATACTTTTCTAAACAGTCGATTCATGTATTTCAGGTGCAGAACGTAATCTACAGTTGGTGGTACATCCCAGCTATGATGGTGGACGTTTATTAACCGGTGTACCATACCAACATGAGACATTTTACCGCGTGGCAGCGGTAGGCATTAACGGAGAACCTGGTTATGGTATACTAGAGTTGGGGTATTTACCTTCAGGTGAGTATTGTCAAAGGAGATAGGTCAGGGGTACGACCGCCTTCCTGTCGGGGGGTAGGGTTCAAGTGTCTCTTAAATCGTACCTAAAACCCGCAGAGGGACCTGCCTTGCAAAGGGTGGCCCGAAATAGTGGCGAAACGCGTGGTAATAGGCGCGGCTGTTACCGTGCATCGTCCGCAATAGGAAGGAACATAAGTGGGTTTTAGTTGGAATGGTTCTGCATTTCGACTAGCCCCCGTCAGCCCCCTTCATGCCAGAGATTTTTTATTTTTGCTAATTTTGCTTTTGCTCCATAGATGGAGTAGTATAGTATAAATAATATTAAAACAAAATATTTCAGTGGCTCTTTATAAATTGTGAAATTTTGTATATTGTAGGTTTTAGTTCTTCTATCTTATAGGTTTCCGACTATACTGATTGAATGAATTAGAATTTTTAATTTTTTGACGAGAGGATAATTAAGTTGGAGTGTATTTTTTTTAATTCTGCTTCAGATGTAAGGGAGCCGTCAGTAGTATTGTCTAGCGGTCCGTCCCTCCGTTGGGCTTCGGCAGAGGAATGTGGTGAGGTGGAACAGTACTGTGTACAGATGCATGAACGCATCGCCGCTTGTCCACAATACGTGGGCGGGAAGGCAGCTTCACTCGCTCTTCTAGCCTCCGTACAAACTGCTCAAGTACGTTCGAACCACAACAAATAAACATTAGATAGCATCACATACATTGCACAGATCTTAAATTAAGTAGCTTAAGTACTGAATTATTGTATTATGGAACTCTGAATCAACGAACGTCCCACAACTCTCAGTGACAATAATAAAGAAAAGTTAATTCTCAACGTTAATTTACTGGGACTCAGATATGGCGACAAAGGTCAGCGTTATTTTTCATTATTGCTCCACTCCTATTAGCCAGGCGCGTGGCCCTTAGCGGATTGGAGAGTATTAATGACTGCAAATGCAACATGGACCAACGGCTTAACGTGTTTTTCGATGCACGGAGTAGCTCGAGATAATGATAGTTGTTATCAAATTGCGTAATATCAACGATCGCATATCCACTGCGCTTCCGAGCTACTCAACTACAACAATTAAAACTCGCGATTATCGGGACATCTCACGAATATGTTGAATTTGTTACTTATTTCAATATCAGTGAATTTAATGTATAGTATTTAATGTATGTATGTACAGTTAGATCGATCTCTATCAATCCAATGTCGCCGTGATAACCATGCGTACAGTAAATTCCAACTAATATGACCCATGGTGGATCTTCGTAAACCTATCAATTCCAATGATGACGGAACGTTTTTTTAAAATTTTAAATGAGTCTTGTGTAAATAACCATAAGATATAAAATATAATGCATTAGGCATTAAGGTAGCTCGGTGGCGTAGTGGATAAGCGTCGCGGCCCGTGATCGTTGTTGTTAAGCAACTTTCGCAAGGGTCGGTCACGGGATGGGTGATCAAAAAAATTATTATCTCGAGCTGCTCCGTGCTTCGGAAAGCACGTTAAGCCGTTGGTCCCGGCTGCATCTGCAATCCGCATTGGGCCAGCGTGGCGGGACATGTCCCATCCTCCTTAACCATCCGTTAGGAAGGCCTGAGCCCCTGCAGTGGGGACGTAAAAGGGCTGATGATGATGATGATTATGAGGCATTAAGCATTGGGTTTCCGTCTCACTCACTCTGCGATGGTGTGATACTTGAATATTCTGTTTGGTCGACTTTTGCCGCGCTTCCAAATTGAACCTAACGCAGGGAAATTAATTATATTTTACTGTAACTGCTTCATTTATTTTTCAGGGGTATCGAGTTCCACCAGCCTTTTGCATCACCGTTAAAGCATTGGAAACTCATTTACAATCGAATCCTCATCTAAATCAAGCTATTAAAGATATAGAGGCGGCTAATGAAAATTATAATGAAACTAAATTCAAGGAAAAATGCGCTAAGTAATGAAAATGATTTATAAACGCTTTGTTATAAGCAACTTCCGTGGTTTGGTTCTAAGTTCATGTTGTTTGTTTTAAGGGCCGCCGAATTATTTTGTAAAACAGAAATAACTGGTAAACTATTTGATGATATCATAAAACATCTCAACGATTTGCGGAAAAAGGCCGCCAGGGAAGACTTTGGTCCAGAAAGACGTTTCGCAGTCAGATCTTCCGGTGGGTTTTTATTTGTCAGATTGTGTTTTATCTTTGTAGCTGTTATACCTACAAAAATAGTGAAGAAAAAATAACACATATTAAGTAAATATACACCAAATACATTTTAATGATATCCTAATAAAGAGACCGCAGTTTTTTGTTTATTCGTCTATTTGGGAAATGGACACTTGAAATCACATTCACTAATCTAAATTATATTATTAAAACGAGACTTTATAAATGTTAAGTAAACATATAATAATAGGGAATATTAAGCAACTGACGAATCACCAAGTGCCACATCGTCAAGTTGGAACTTAATATACCGCTATTTGATATCATGAGACAGGGACGCTTGTTTTCACGCTATATCTTTATTATAAATAGTGGGACCATTCGTTTCCTGCAAAAATCAACTTTTACTAGGGTCGCCATCTAGTGGAAGTGGTTTTCTGTGTTTCCTTTTTGTTTTGAAATACTTCTTCATTAGGTGACCGAGCGGCTAGTACGTCGGTTTCAAGGTGTCGCCATCTATAAGGTGCAGAGTTTGATTCCCGTTTGGCTTAATATAGAAAATAAATTCTCGAGTCCGGGTGTTGTGTTACCTTCGTCATTTCAGATTTCCATAATACAAGCAATTTAGCTTATTAATTTTTTATCTGGGCAATGTTCTGTGATGTTGTTTTATTTATTTATTCAGCTTGTATTGAAGAGTAAGGCCACATAAGCGATATCGGTATTCATACTGATGGTAGTTGGTCGCAATTCTAAACCTTTTTCAGTGTTTACGTGATACTCAAAAGAGTTATCGTTTGGTACAGTAATGAAAGTAAGAAGTTGTTATTCTTTTCAGCTGTCGGCGAAGATAGTGAGACGTTATCGGCTGCCGGCCAAAATGAAACCGTGTTAGGTTGTGTGAGTGACACTGACGTGATTAAAGGAGTGCAGAAGTGTTGGGCGTCAATGTATGCGTTCACAAGCGCTTACTATAGGAGGTAAAGTAGTTGTTAATTAATAAAAAAATAAGTTCAAAAACTTAAACCCGACTACAGCCAAATCACGGTATAAAAAGTTTGAAACAAGGAATATATTTTATAGCGATAGCTATATTATAATAGCCATGTTCAAAGGACAGCGTAGTCGTATGCCACAACAGCTTGTTTTGTCATGAACAGTGGTATTATTATTTTTCGTAAATTCTGTGTTGCTCCCATAATAAAAGTTGTTCAGTATATTTAACTCATCCACTCCACGAAGTCCTGGCACATAGTAATGCTACACCTTATTCAATAATAGGGTAGTTTCGGTAGCAAAAAATAAGTCACAAAATTGCACAAAAACTAAAATTAACTAATAAAATTTGAGACTCTGATTTTAAGTCTTAAATTGCACGATTATCTTAAAATTAAATTTAAAGATTTTTTTGTCTATATGTCACGTGACTTGAAACACGACCCGCCATTGTGTGACGTCACTGTGGCAATAGCTGTTAGATTAGTCATAAAGATATGCCTAATAATTTTAAATCAAATTCCTAAATTGCGCTGTTCTTAGCTTATCTTTTTATTTCGTAATCGATCGTTAGATGGCACTGTTCTTATTTCATTGACATATTTTAATCTTCCACTCTATGCATCTGTTTTGTGTACATATCACAATGGCATCATGAATATGACGGACAGCGTTTTCGTGGGTAGAAAAAAGTTTAAATTTGTTTATTAAATTTTAAGGCAAGAAAAGGTGGTTATTATTTCGAAGTTTTTGTTTTATGGTATTTTTTTAAAATAGACACTTACAAGTATTATTTCAAACGGAGTAGATTGTATTGTATATGATATGATATGATCGTAAGCATATATATGATATGATATGCTATTGTACTCGTATATGATCTTATTTCAAATAATGTAGAATACCCTATTGTGTATGATCGTTAGACAGAACGGCCAGCCGTGTATGTGTGGCGGGGCCGTGGTGGTACAGGCGTTGGTGAGTGCACAGAGTGCGGGCGTGATGTTCACGCGACATCCCGCCGCCGGGGACCCAACGCGAATACTCATCACCGCCAACTATGGACTTGGAGAAGTATGTAGTATTTATTACGGTTATGGCTGGTTTATATGTAAGAGTAATAATGTAGATAAGTAGTAAGTAGATTTTCAACTTAATTTTAAGTGATTTCGTGTAAACACACAAATAATTAACAAGTTAAAATTTATTTAATTAGATTTAATATTTAACTTGCTACATATTATACACTTGTGTGTTTTCAAGTAGTAAGTAAATCTTCATTTAATCAGAGTTTTCTGATAGGTCTATTCTGCGTAAACAAAGATTCAACATAAGCCATATTCGTTGGAACTTACTACGGATCTAAGATTCTAAGATCTAAGATTTTTTTAAGGAACTTGATATTACGCCCCTCTACACTACCCCCCCTGTAGTTAAAAATGTGTATGAATATTTTTTTGAAGCTTGCTCTTTTTTTCTGAAACAAATCGATTTGTGCTACAATATTATTTTTTCAATGTGCATTATGACCAGATAATGTAACCGTTCAGCAGAGCACTTGTTTGAAAAACATGCATTTTTTTTAATATTAATATTTCTTATTTAAAAAACTAGAGATGGCGATATCTTGATTACGCGCCCAAAAAGTCGTCAATTATAACTAATACTAACTGTTTTTCGTGGCTTCGCTTGCGTCAATTATAACCTATGTCACCTGAGTATAATGTCGCTTTCCGCAGGTGTCAGAATTTTCATGATTGGATCTGAATTTCCGAAAGAACTTTATTATATTATGTGACCGTGGAAGCTGTAAACAATGCGAAACGTCACAAAACTAAATACAAACGCGACGAAACCATTTAAAAGTGGTTTCATTTATGGAAAATGCGCGATAAAATAAAAGAAATCAATATGATGAAAAAATAATTATATTAAAGAGTTGAAGACTAATATAAACATTAAGTAACAATTATTAGTAAGTATAGAATAAAAACAACAGAGTTACATATGTATGTGTATTAAAAATTTTATTTTTTATCCACAGAGCGTAGTTTCCGGGTCGGTGGAACCGGACACGTTTATAATATCACGTGATCAAGATGACAGTTTGTCTATTTCGACAATAGAATTGGGTTCGAAATTGAAGCGGGTCACCGTATGCGCAGAGGGCGGCGTGAACATGGAGGAAGTGCCGCTGTATGAGAGAGATACAGCGTGTGTTAGCAATGACGATATTTTGAGACTCGCGCATATAGGAGTATTGCAGGATAAACTCTGGGGCGCGCCTAGAGATATCGAGTGGGCCATCAGCAAGGTACTAGTTTTAGTTTCTTTATGGCTAGTTTACACGTAATGAAGTAGTAAGTACATTTTATTAATATAGTTTGAAGTGCCTGTAATCATACATACAGTAATAAGTACCAAGTTAAATAAATTTTAACTTGCTACTTATTATTTGTTTTTGTGTTTTTCACGTACTTAAACACTTACAAATCCATTTATTAGTTATCTACTTAATTACGTGTAAACCATGAGATAGTGCGCGGCAGATCATTCGTCTAGTGTAAATGTTATATATTTCGTTGCCGCATTTTCAGTCAGACATGCACTGACCCTAAGATTACAAAAAAAAGATTTCGTCATTTAATTCCCCGCTGCGGGGGCTCCGGTTTTATAGATGGTTAAGGAGGATAGCTGTGACTCTCCACGCGGGCCCACTGTGGATTAGAGGGTATTAACGATTTCAAATGCAGCCGAGATTAACGGCTTAACGTGCCTTTCGAAAAAACGGAGTAGCTAGAGATAATATTATTTTGGTCACCCATCCCGTGACCGACACTTGCGAAAGTTGCTTCACAACATCGATCGGGCAGCGCGGCGCTTAATCACTACGCCACGAAATACTCTAAAAGAATATAACTTTTGTAATGTTGGTGTTTGTGCTTAGAACGAGATCTTTCTTCTACAAGCGCGACCAGTCACGTCTTTGGAACGCTGGACCGACGAGGAGTTGTTGCACGAACTGGATTCGCCTATTATGGACGATGATGACCTCACTACTACCGCCAACTGCGGCGAGGTGAGTTTATATTTACTAGCTTTCCGGTATGACATTTAATTATTGTCTCTCATCGTATTTACATTCTTTGTTTCAACTCCTAGCCAATTTTACGTGATAAAACCTATCCTATGTTCTTTCCCAATGTCAATTCTATTTTTGTATGTAACAGGCCCCCACATATACAGTTACTTTCGTATAATATTGATAAGGGTATATAATATTTAATATAATGTTGAAATAAAAAGTCCTTCCTGAAATAGCTCTTAAGTTCTAATAGTAATTAAAAAGTGGTCTTGTATATACACGCACGCACATGAAACAAAAATAATGTTACAAAACAGCGGAGCCCAGAGACCAGGGACTCCAGAGAATAGTGATAATTTATTATGCGATGAGATAGTAAAGATTTCTATTTCTAATTTAATCTGATACCACACACATTAGGTCACAATGATATGTATGTTCGCATTCGGATTAGTTCCGTAGTTTCGCTTCCACACACGAATGCGTCGGTGTACTACGGGTGTAAAGCTTTTTGTTTCCGAACAGCTATTCTAATATCAACATGTGATTGACGTGTGGCTGATAAATTGCAATCTAATGAGGAAGTATTAAAGCACTAAAAAGCACCTACACTTGAGGGCGACTCTAGCAAAAGTTGATTTTTGCAGGAAACGATTGGACCAAAGACAGTCATTTCCGTTCCTTTTAACTAACATATTAAAAAACGGAAATTTGAAAAGTCGAAACTTAGATATTTATTTATTTAAGCTTTATTGCACAAATTAAAATGTACAAATGGCGGACTTAATGCCATGGGGGCATTCTCTACCAGTCAACCGGAGAGTTGTAGCAGAGAGCTTAAAAAAAGGCGGTACAACTATGAAACAGAGAGCCAAACAGTTTCAATGTGAAAAATTAAATTAGAACTACCAATACCTATGCATAAATTTACATACACATATATAACATACATAAAAAATATATATATGTATAGAAACAAATAAATATATATACTTATATAAACAATTTAACCACAAACCACAGAAGAATTCAATAGATGTTCGCGCAGTAGACGTTTGAAAGCAAGTTTATTTGGAGCAGCTTGTATGTGGGAAGGCAGTACATTCCAGAGTCGTATAGCTTGAAGCGAAAATGAATTGGAAATGAAACCTGTCCGGTGAGAAGGAAAAATGAGAGTTTGTTTGCTGTCTGAACGAAGATTACGGCTGTGAGAAGCACCTAATTACTGAAATTTACATTTCAAATATCCAGGTGCACACGGATATTTAAGTATAGAATAGAGAGTGGAAAGGATCCTCAGATCCCTACGCTGGCGAATTGTTAGCCATTTCAACTTTTTCCTAAAGGCAGAGACATGATCATATTTACGAATGCAGAAAATAAAGCGAATGCAATTATTGAGTAAACGATCCAGTTTGTTTAGAAGTTCCTGCGTGATGTCAGCATAACACACATCAGCATAATCAATGATAGGAAAGATTATTGATTGGACTAGGAGGATTTTAGTGGAGATGGGAAGGAAATTTTTGAATTGATAAAAAGACTTAAGTATGCCAATTACTTTACTACAGACAGAGTCAATCTGCGTCCTCCAGTTCAGTGAGCTGTCAATGCAAATACCCAGATCGACAACGTGAGGGGCAAACTTTATTAGATTGCCATTAAAATTAAGAGGAGTGACAGAGCTCATATCCACCCTCGCTAAAAATCGCGTACTACCCACTATGATACCCTGGCACTTGTTAGGGTTGAACCGAATTCCAAATGTATTAGACCAGTCAGAGATCTTTTCCTTATTTATCGAGCATATAGCTTCATCCAGTCTATTTGTCTCCGCATGTGCGTAAGTTTGCAGGTCATCTGCATACAAATGATGAGAGCTGTCAAGAATAAAGGAAATTGAATTAATGAAAATCGAAAAGTACAAATAGAATATGAGTTGCTTATTGAGTTTTGAAAACTAATTTACTTTTAAACTTGAAAGAAAACCGTAAAGGTTGTCATGGAGAAATCAAAAACGTACCGTAGCGACATCTAGTTTGATTTCGGGAATTAATGTTTTTTAAAATACTTCCTCATTACTATTTGCGTCCTTCTTAATCGTGAAACTTTAGAGGCTTAAGAGTACACTTACGAGTATGATGATAATTTCTGTTACTACTAACATTATAGTTTTAGAATGATTGTTAAATACGGGATTGTTACCATGTACATTATATTTTTTTAATTTCCTGATATCTCTGCGCTGTTGCAAGATCACAGAGTAACTGACACGGAGTAAAGTTTAAAACGTCATATTCATAGCTCTGTTTACTTACACGATAATCTAATTTTATCGTGTGTATAATATTTGAAGATACTTTTCTACAGGTGTTACCGAAGCCAGTGACGCCGTTGTCTATAGATCTGGTGCTGAAGCCACTCAATGATGGCATGAATCGAGCTGTATCGAGCGGCATGGGCGACTATGATAATTCCATCATAGTCACGCATAACAGATGTATGATCTCTTTATACAATGTAAGTATTAAAACTTGTAGTTATTAAGCCAGTAGTTCACACGCCGGCGTTAAGGCTTTGCCATCTCTGAGTTCTCGGGTTCGATTTTCGGTCGGTCAGTTTTGAATGATAAATTGTTTCGGGTCTGAGAGTTGTGGTGCCTTTGTTGTCTAAGACATTAGACACACGTGCGTGTACGAATAAATTTCATATGTTTTAACATTTTTAATAGCATTTTCGTTTTTTTCTGGGATATGACCATTATACGGAGCAAGTTTATTTTGCCACCTTGTGGTCCTTGCCTACCAAAAGGTTGCCAACCGCTGCATTAGAGTGTTACTTTTTGGGGATAAATGATACAAGAGCATTAGCTGCTCACTCATTTGGAATCTGAGCAATGTATGTGATGTTGTTTCATTGCCAGCCTATTAACATTAATGTCGCCCTGATGGGGCAAAGGCGCTCCCTATTAATGGAGTCGAACCGAATGGGGCGAAAGAAGGTAATTTAAATTGTCCTGCGAAAACAAGCAGTCACATGACATTTCGAGACGTGCCGTTACAATTCAATAAACATGAGTACTGGTTGCACTCGTAACCAAGACTGAAATGTGACGTCATATGATGCTCCGCCATGGCCGCCCGCGTTTTGGTTCTTGTGACCCACAGATTATAAATGGCGAGTTCATTTTATAAAAATAAAATATATTTACAATTTTTTAAAACATATGAAACTACATAGTTTTTGTTTACACGTAAGTTGTAGTTATTATTTACATACATTTAAGTTATCATTTCCGATATATTTCATTATTTATTGCTATAACTGTCGATGAGCTAATTGTCTCAGCTCTTCTTTTTTTGTAGGTGGTGTATCGTAGGGCTCCTGCTAACGGACGGGTGGATGTTAACACGCGTATGATGGAGATGGCCATTCACGGTCATAAGGTCGCGACTGATGAGATCATACGGACAGCTGTACGCCGTCGCCCGCCCAAGTGGTACGATAAAATCGTATTGATGTGTTTACTTCTTAAGGTACGTGTATTATAAAATTATATAAACAAAAGGAATAATTATCAGAATAGGTCCATTATGAAGAAGGCGGAATATGTGGAATATATATACAAAAAAAAAACACTCGCATTGAGAAAAATGTTTTGAAAAGGTTCCACGCAAACGAGGTTGCGCATAAAAGCTAGTGTTATATATCATCATAAGCTGTTTTCTAGCGACTTCGACCGCGTAAATTATTAGCCTATGTCATCTGCATATGATGTTCCTGGTTTATTATCGGTCCAATAGTGGCAAAGCTAATGCAAACAAACGATCAAATTTATCTTTATTCTATTAGTACAAAAGTAACGTTGAAGTTACCGATTCTTTAAAATTACAGTTTTTAATTACTTCAAAGTGGCGCATGAACAATACAGTAAAAATAGTGAAAGAGATGAACGTGAAGACAGAAGTGGAGAGGCCGATGGATATATTAGAATCGTTGTGGGAGTCGAAGCGGTTGATGGGGCGGGTTGCATACAATCACGGCATCACAAGCGGCGCAAGTACCGCCAACCAGTTGATAGCGATGGCCGTGTTATTGGAAGGCAGTTCTGGTAAGAGTTGTTTTTAACGAGTGGTTTATGACATTTTAAAATTGATTGAAATTACGTCAAGTTTAGGTGTAAAAATAAAAGATTTCTTATAGGTTTCTTTGTCGAAATTTTATCAAAGCATTTATTTGGTATACATAGATACATAGGACACTTACGGACTATTCATAAAAAATTAAATATAATAGACTATATAAGAAAATATACATGCACAGATATAAAATTTTATATATGATACCTATGCGTTACACAATTGTACCAAAAAAGTATCTAGCTAAGCACTTGTTGATCTCTTTCTCTATTTAAAAAATAAAAAGTGACGATCCTGATTTTTGGCTAGACCAGTGAGGGTCTAATGGGAGCCGTCCGGTCCTGGAGGCCTCCAAATGCAGAATCCGCCAACATCATAATAAATAAAGTTAATATTGTACGTGCTAGACCCCTTTCTTTTAGCCCCAGTAATTTCGGTCAAACAGTCAATCTTGTTGGATCTTTGGTAGCTCAATGGTTAGAGCTGTCGCCCTTACTGCTAAAGGTTGTGAGTTTGAGTCGCATTTCGGGTATCTGGAGCAGGTGAATTTTTGCAAATTTTACATTAAACTATAGCTTTATGTATTATAAAGTTCCTATTTCAAATTTTAGATTATACACCAGAGTATTGCAACGAAATCTGTGCGATGTTCAACTCCGGGAATGTCCTATCGGCCGAGGTACCTTGGGGTTTGGCCAAGTTAACACAGGAGATAGAAGAATCAGGCAAGGCTGATCAGTTTCGTAAACAAGACCCTAAGGATGCAATGTATTGGTTGCAAAAGAATGTACCTCATGTACATTTAAACGTGTGCGTCTTCTTGGAGCAACATGGTCATAGGGCTATTATGGAGGTAGAAAATTAAATATATATGTTTAATGAGAGCTACCGTATTTTCGCTCACCAGATGGCGCGACAGTCGCGAGAGGTTCTGCCAAAATTTGTTCACTATGTGATTGAACTTAAATCATACATCATAATACATCAATAAACCATTTTATTAAAAATATCTAACAATTCCCATAAACACTAACTTCTGATTTAGCTATTCTTTTATCCCGCTTAATTTCGCACTACATTTTCTGAGCTCCGTTTTTAAAGCACTGATTTTCATTGACCCGGAATTCACAATTGTTTTTTGGGTATGTTGGGTACCCCTAAAATATAACATATGTGCAAAATTAGTTTATTTGAAAAGAACGCACGTAGCACATCGTCATAGCATCACTAGCACCTCTAGTGGCAAATTTAAACGCGATAGCCCTCATTGTTTTCATTCTTTTTAAAATGTCGATACTAGAGTCTCAATATATGTTATTTCTCTTACAGTTTGACTTGGCTACTAAACCTTGGGTCTTGGTACCAGAAAATTTAATGAAGATATTACAAAACTTAAGGGTGTCTAATCAAGAAGCTCCAACTGTTAGGAGTGACATTGAAGTTATCAACTCCTTAACTCTCCCTAAAAAGAATAGCACTCGGTGAGTATGTAATATAAATGAATCCGCAATATTTCCTGGATATTTTTAAATTAAATATTTTATATTATATAAATTACAATTAATTCCAAATTATTTCCCTATGAATCCTATGTACGCCTTATCATCATTGTCAGCATCATCATCGTTAGCCCTGTTACGTTCCCACTGTAGGGGCTTAGGCAGTTCGATATAAACGACTGCAAATGCAGCCGGGACCAATAGCTTAACGTGCCTTGCGAGTAGCTCTAGTTAATTTTTTTTTGTCACCCATCCCGTGACCTACCCTTGTGAAAGTTGCTTAACAACAATGACCGCGTGCCGCGGCGCTTATCCACTACGCCACCGAGCTGCTTAATGTACCGATGTACGTCTAAATTGTTACATACATATATCTGACATATATACTTATTTATTTATAATAACTTATAACTAAATCTATTAATATATGTTAGGTGGCAGAACTAAATAAATAAATATTCTATGTTATCAATGAGATTATTTTACGACTTTGACGTACTTTTATTTCTCTTAATTTTGATTCTAGCAGCTTTAGGTATCCCGAGATGGGACAACCTTTCGCAGTCCGGGCGACTGCTCTTACCATTGAACTAGCCGAGATCCAACAGGACTAACGAATTTTTCAAGAACTTAATTTTCGCTTATTTTCGTATATTTTCGCTTAACCGTATTTTCTTTAATGATCAGGAAAACGGATGATTGACAACTTGTTATTTTATTTATAAATAAATAGTCTGTTAATATCTGATAAATAATGTAGAAGTAACAGCATGTCTGCGATAAATAGTTTCGAAGATACGGTGCTATGTTGTAGTTAGTAGGTAGAAGCTAGTTGGTTCCTAACGTTCCCTACCACTTCAAGGCACCAAGTGACGTCACACAGTGCTACGGTAGCGAAAAACCTGTAGGCGTCTGGTCAATCTTTATAATATCTTTGTTATTTGTGCGTTTATGTTTATAGCTATTATAATGAAAGTTATAACGTTTTATGTAATTATTTGAATGTCTTATGTAGTTTAACAATTTTTTATATATTTTCTCCACTTTTTTCAAGTTTTCACACAAAAATTTATTTAGTTAAATATTTACAAGTTCTATTTTCCGAACATATGTTATATGTAAACCTGTATTTTCACTTGTAGTACACAAGCCTAGGTTGTGTTACATCTCGGGATATCTGAGGCTGGCTGGTGGATGATTTATGCATTTTTCATTAAAGATGAATAAAGTATTATGCTTATAATTGTTCTTGTTTTGTCTACCAGGAAAATTCTCGCTTGGGTGTTGCCCCTTTGTCACCGTACAGTCCGTCACAGAGAGACTACTAAAGCTCACTTTATCTTGGCTGTCCACAAACAAAGGTTGGCTGCCATAGAATTGGGGAAGCTCTTGGTACGCCAGTGGTACTTACCTGATCACGAACTTGTCTTCTTCTTTAGTTATTGCGAATTGAAGAAATATATCCAAACACGGGATCCAGCTTTATTGAGAAAGTAAGTTCTTTCAAACAAAAAATAAATTAATATATTTTGTGCTTTGGTTTTCCCGTAAATCATTGAACTTGTCCCTGTGTCTTTAAAATCTTTTCATCATAATATCATTGGTAAATATTTTTACAATTAGCTGAACTCTATACTTTTGAGCATGGCGTCACGTTCGACCTAATTTTTACTGAACGGCTAAAAATGTGTCTAGCATTATCATGATTAAATATGTTATCTTTTCTATGGCTCAATTACGTTTTAATTCCCCAACTTCTGGCTATAATCGAATGCCTAAAGTCATATATCTTATTATATATCTTATTAGTCTGATAAAACTAGGACTATTTGTCTTGTGAAATTAAAAAAAAAACGTAGGTTATTGAGAATAAGCGGTAGAGATTTTCTACTTTTTTCAAATCAGAAACCGGCTGTTAGTCTGTTAATCGATTTAAGCATTTTGACTGCCTTGTTTAGTGATTGTCTGGTAGAATTTGCATAAAAGCGGTCTTATAAATCATAAACTACTTTATTTCGTTTTTAGATATGAAGAAGTCAATGACCGATTAAAAACTTGTTCCTTAGTACGTCCCAAAAACAACTGACTCAGGGTTGAAAACACTCATTTTTTTCCAAAAACTTTGTAATTTAATATCTCCGAAACTATTTGACCTAGACATATATTTTTTTTACATCATATTAAAGACAAATAGTACTCTCCAGGAACCTTGGGAGTGTCGGTCGTTCTGTTCCACCCAGTATGTTTAAACATACTTAACTGTATCTTCCTATTAAATTTCTACTTTTAAGCACCCACCGTCTATTTGTCTCCACATCACCCCAAAAGTTGACTGGGAGAATTTCTATGTCATTAAGTCCGCCATTGTACACTTCTGCAAGATGTATTAGTTAATGAATTTATTGTACTAGGGCCATTCAACGTCGACAATGTTACCCGGGCTGGTGCAAGTTAAAGTTCGCAGAGTTGAATACGGGCTGGATATATCCATTGGACAACGTGGAGGGAGAGAGGGTGCGGACGGGCGGGGTACGCCTCGAGGCAACCTCCGTGTGTGGCGGCGAGGCAGTGGGGAGGGCCTGTGTCGTCAGGGATCTGTCCGAGGTACTGCATAACTCGTACCAATTAACATGACATCTGAGAGGATATTTTATTGATAACGAAATTTTTGTCTATTTTCGAAATGATAGTACTAATTTTTCGATTATTTATGATGCACTGGAGATAGGATATTATTTAAAAAACAAAAAGATAGCACGATTTGACATTTTCCTAATTTTCACTCCTGGACAAATAATAATAGAAATAACAATAATAAAACTTACTCAAATAAAATATACAGTGTTATTTAAAAAATATCAGTAAACTAGGCAGCTACAATGATAAGAAATAACATTCGATGTACAAGTTGTAATACAACTAAGTATTTTGAATGAAAATGATTTTTTTCCCATTTTTTGTATTGTTGTGTCGTGAAAGTTAAATTTAAGGAATTATGAAGACTTAAATATTCTGTGAGGCCATTTTGTTTTACAAATAACCCTGTATACGAAACGTATAGTTAAATCTTGTCGAATACGTAAATAGATAAGAAATAGAATCATCTAAAATTACAGTGATTGCTCATTGCGTAAATGGCATACCTTCTATATTTTACAAATTTATGTACTAGTACAACAATTGCATTGGCCAAGATCTTCACAAGAGACGCTAATTAATATGAAACTCGTCATTTCAGATCGATCAATTGCAACAAGGGGACATTTTAATCACTTACGCTACTGATATTGGCTGGTCCCCATATTTTCCACTGCTAGCTGGTATAGTCACCGAACTGGGAGGACTTATATCACACGGTATGATATTTTTATGGAACTGCATGCACTTTTGTAACATTGAAATAGATTACTGAGAAATACTATTTCAAATTATCATCACAATCAGCCCTTTTACGTAACTCCAGCAGGGACTCAGGTATTCCTTATGGATGGTTAAGGATGGGCCATGGCCCTCCATGCTGGGCCAATGTGGATTGGAGGGTATTAAGGACTTCAAATGCAGCGGGGACCTATGGCTTAACGCGCCTTCCGAAGCACGGAGTAGCTAGAGATAATAATTTTTTGATCACCCATCCCGTGACCTAACCTTGAGAAAGTTGCTTTACAACAACGAGCTGAGGCGCTTATCTACTACGCCACTGAGTTACAAGATTTTCAAGCTAATTTTTGTCAGTCCGTCAGGTAGATTATTGAAGAATATTTAATACGTATTTTTTACGCAACTAATCAATAATGTAACATGATATATTAAGATGAAATGTCGCAAGACGTCTCACACCTTTGTACGTTTTCTGCATAGTTGTGACGTAGCGAGCCTGCACTCCTCAACTTTAGTACTTATTGTGGCTTAATTACTGGCTAAATTGAAGTAAAAATACGTATCTAATATTTTTCTATTATCTGAATGACTAATTAGTTTTTTTATCACCAGACCTCATCCCTATTGATAAATTGTTCATCTAGAATTACGATATGGATTTATAATATCATTGATTAAGTTAAATTAGTATTTCAATTGCTACAATTTTTATTCTGTTTTCTATATGTGTAGGTATTTAATTTCCTGCGTGTTATAAAAAGGACAGCAAACAAAACTTTGAACTGTCAATGGATTAATATATAGAATGCGTTCACAATACACTTCTTTCTACTTCAACAAGATATGTAGTGAAATAGCTATTAATAAATTATATATAATAATGCGTCAAATTCGTGTTTTTAGGAGCTGTAATAGCACGCGAATACGGTTTACCGTGTATAGTAGGAGCCACACACGCCACTGACCTTTTTAAGACTGGAGATATTGTAAGGCTCATGGCAGCTAAAGGAATTATCGAGAAAGTTGAAGTTGTCGAATCCAAAGAACAAAATGGAGATTCTATTATGATAAAAAATGATAAGAGTGAAACGGATGAAGACATATCGTTATTTAAATAAATTACGAGTCAAACGAATTAATTGTTGTAAAAACTACTTATATTGTTATACAAATAAATTAAACACTTTTATCAGTTAAATTATATTTGTATAAATAATATTCCGACATAACAAGACAAACGATGCTAACAAATTGATCACAAATTCAATAACAATTTTTATCAAAATATAAAAAAATACAAAACAATTCCAAAAGATCACAACTACACCTATATAATTCTTCATCCCTATCCAACTTTGAAAGTTGTAATTTTTGCATTAAAAATCTATCTCAATCTAAAGTTTTAAGCCAATTTTAAAATGGCTCACGTACAATTTTCGCGTTAAGTTTGCGCGAACCACACCAGTCATCGACTGCTGTCTTCTAGCACCAGGAGATCATAGCAATTGAAAGCAAAAGGTCTGTCGTATATGATCACGTGGCAGCGATAGGCGGGCGAGTGTACGGCGCCGAGGAGATGGGAGCCGTGATAATGGACTCTACCCACGTACACATTAGACGCTACTTTGACTGCATTCGAATCTATCGTTCCCGCCTTCCAAGGTTTCCATGTCACTTCCGCATTACACATTACCTACACATAAAAGCTATGATGAACTTAATAATCATACTAATACTAATTATTGGGCTGATGATTTTACGACTGTACTGTAGAGGCTCAGGCCTTATCTATGGATAGTTAAGGAGGATGGGCCCATAACCCTCCACGCCTACACATAAAAGATGATGAACTAAATAATCATACTAATACTAACTATTGGGCTGATGATTTTACGACTCTAATGTAGGAGCTCAGGCCTTACTTATGCATAGTTAAGGAGGATGGGCCCATAACCCTCTAGCTGGTGCAATGCGGATTGGATGCGGATTAACGATTGCGAATGTAGCCGAGACCAACGGCTTCAGAGTAGTTAGAGATAAAAATATTTGACATCAACTTATTCCGTGACCGACTCTCGTGAAAGTAGCTTAGGAATATCGATCGTTGGAAGCGGCGTTTATCGCCATCAAGCTACTCTATAAATACGAAACTAAATATTTCTACTTGTTAGGTTAACAATGTTTTTTATAGTAATATTATAAACAGGAAAGACTTCATTGTTTGTTTGTTTGCAATGAATAGACTCCCCGAAGCTACTGCACGTGTAGCATGACGAACGCGAGAACGTTTTGTCTACACTCAAATGTCATTTTTCTCGGGTGCGCCCATACGATATCTCACGCTCAACCCGAGAAACTGACAAATGAGTGTAGACAAAGCGTTTCTTGAGTTTGTTATGCTACGCGTGCAGGACTGATTTTAAAAATTGTTCACCTACGAGAAGCTACGTCATATGCGGTGAATATAAGCTATATATTATCGAAAAACAGCAAATAAAGGGATGAAAACGGGATTGGAAGTTTGTATGGAGAGTTAAAACGTTACCATAGTAACCATTATTCACTAATTAATATGTCATTGTAATGGGGATGATAAAGAAAAGAAATTCGATTTATTCCGTCAGTCAGATAATAGAAAAATATTAGATACGTATTTTTTTTTACTTCAATTTAAACAAGAAATTGATTAGATAATAAGTATTGAAGTTGAGTAGTGGGGGCTCGCTACGTCACAGCGTGCTACATTTGAACTCAATATATCGCCGATTACACATAAATACGTATTTAATATTATTCAATAATCTTCCTGACAGACAAACAAATAAAAATTAATCGTCATCCCTATATATCCGTGTTATGATATGAACCGATATCCAAATAAACAGGTTGAAAGCTATTATGCAATAAAGAGTATATTGTATTTCAAACTAGACAGATATAATGTGGATTTCAAGTTAAACTCACTTGGTATTTAGTGTAATGATGAATAGAACCGTCGGCGTAGACTATGCAGCAATGCTTTAAAGGGTGAAGAGCAGCAGGCAATACTTTGTTTCTGTTTGCAAATATTAATTACTCGTTATTTATTTTTTTCATGGTAGATCGACGGTTGTTTAAATGATCTTACGATATTGTTACATACGTCAGATGACCAATTACAGATCCACACAGTTAGCCTTAAAATTAAGTAACAATTTTGAGTTCACTCGGTGACTATATTACTATATTACTTGTTTAAGAAGTTTTGTTATTATTTTATCTAACAAATATGGTAGCAGTACTCTGTACAAGGGATCTCAGATCTTATACAGTACCTAATGGCACTTATTTGATCTGGAGAAATATCGACTGGTTTTCGAGAGAATTCCATTTTTTTTACCTGTAGTATTTGCTATGGATTCGATGTGTTCGCTCAATTTAACATTGGACGACAAAGCTGAAGTTGATTCGTCATCGGAAAAGACACACTCAAAGTAGTTAATTTCTCTCCAACTTTATGTGGCTTTTATATGGTTGCGGTTGTACGCTATGTGAAAGTTATTTTCATACTACCCTCTCGTGTTCTGAGCGCTTGGGTAAGATTTTTGACATTTACGTTCACAGTCGATCACTAGTGCGTTAAGATTTTAGTATGGAATCCGGTACATCTCCCCTAGCGGTAACTATCTAGCAGTACTAATCTTCAAATAAATTCTTAACGAACTCACTAGTGAAGTAAGATTAAAACTTACACTTACCACTTCGATCACAACATGCTTTTATCTAATAGACAACCTGTCTCCTTTTCTCTCTCTCTCTCTTAAAATAGTCGGTAACCTGTGCGTAGTCCTCGCTACCCAAGTGACTTCACCGTCGCACAGTCCCGCGGCTACCGCGCCGCTGGGTACCGCCCCGCACGCGCTCACCACCCATACTGGTCCTGGCTGGTTCCACGACGGTAGCCATTCTGATAATTTTGTAATAACAAATCATTTGTAGGGTTCCGCACACAAAAGGTAAAACGGGAACCCTAACGGGAACTACTGACACTTCAGTGTCTGTCCAGTATCTCATGAATCGTGACAGTTAGACAGTTGAAATTTGCACAGATGATGCATTTCTGTTGCCGCTGTAATAATGAAGACAAAATTGTATAAATATTGAAGGGCGCTCCCACTCACACGTACGTTTAGTAAGTTTCTCTTACAGACTGTGTAAACCAAAAACGTATTTGCTATCAGAGTTTGGCTCGGTACGTTATGAAAAGGGATGAAAGGAATCTTAATAAAAAGGTGTTGGAAGTAAGACTATAGATCGAGAATAAAAGAAACACTAACAGAAGTAGCTAGACTGTGTGAGGAATGATATGAGGGTATGATGACCTGATGGTAGTGTGCGAGTGTCCTCTTGCTGTATTACGCCGACTTTAATTTGGACAGAACAACAAGATGATTTAATTTTTCTAGATTTTTCTAAACTTTTATATTATATATGTTGACATTTAAAAACCAGACGTGCTGTAACCCAGGCTCGGATCAAAATCATCATATAAAAGAATAAAAAGAATGAGCTTGAAAAGTATCAGGTGTAAGAAGGGCGCATTGACGGATATTTGCCACGGTTTGAAAAAATCGTAGATCCGGGTCAGAAAATGGTATTCTTACCAGTAGGTACAGTAAACAATCAGATGTGCTTGTGTGTTTATTTATGCCGGCTCGATATATAGGTATAATATATAGGTAATTCAATGCCTGTTATGGTTGTTTCAAAAACTTGCTAAAAAAATTACCTGTTATTAATGTTTGATATTTCTGCTCCCAACAGATATTTAAGTGAGTTTTATATTTGTTCCAATCGTCAACGTATTCTTGTATCTTCTTTTTGAAATAATTCCAACGCCTGTTTAATAAAAATAGTTGTTTGGATCATGAAAAATATGCTTACAAATATTTTAAATGACAATTCATATCGTTATATACAGGTAACTAAGAAAATACTTGACACGAAAAACTAAAAGTAATAATAATAAACGATAAAAATGGGTAACAAGATTGATATATTTTAGTTATTTTTATAGTGTAATTAATGACGTATGGTCTATTGTTGCGGGGTTCTGCGGCTAGCATTCAAGAAATTTTTATTCTAAAGAGAAAAAGAGAGCTGTCCGCGCTATATACCTATATTTTCCGTCAAGGGAATCTCTCAGAGAAATATTTAAAGAAATAAATATTTTGACTGTTGCCTCTCAATACATTTATGAAAATATTATGTACGCGAAGAAAACATTACGATTCCTTCACAAAAAAAAAGGAGTGTTCATAATCTTAACACAAGAAATTAAAATAAACTTGCAGTTCCAAGCTTCAGACTTCAGAAAATCAGAGAATAATTTCTGGGTAAATGCATTGCTATGTTCAATAAGTTCCACAAATTGTATTGACTTACCCATAAATAAATTAAAAATTCATGTAAAGAACATACTTATGAGTTTACTCATAATTTTTAAAGGCTATTATTAAGTTGATGGTTATTTTAAAATATTTTAATGCATGGAATTAATAAAATAAAAATATTTTCATATAGAATATCAATAGAATAAAAGATATTTCATTTCACTGGATTTTTAGGCGCGCTTGTCGTTACGTCAAAGTACGCGCCTAGAGATATGACATTTTAAATGAATATGAATTTTGAGTAATTCATTTTTTTATTAAACTACTCAAATCGTTTTTTTATATTAACTTTTTTACTAATCATATAGTTTACTAAATCGGTGAATCAAAATAAAAGTTTTGTGACGTTGATGTTGTGTCTATAGATCTTAACTTTTTGTAACATTGATATCCCTAATGTGTTAATGTGTACATTTTCGTCACATCCGTCCTGACAAATAAGTAGCATTATATAGATAGATAGACTTTTTAATAATTACTTTCCAGAAGAAAACCCTTTTTTGAATCAGAAATACTATGACGCGTCTAATTATACTAAAATTTGATTACACATCTATAGTAGGTAAATACTATAAATATTGAGTGTTTAACTTACATTACGTGTAAAGGTACATCTGATCCCGTAACTTGCTGAAGTGAGTTAGTCTCTTTCACCTATGTGACAATTTTTAATTAATTTCAATACTCACATAGTCACTACAATGAGTATATATGTTTTATTACAATTAACGGATATAGAGATGTTAAATCTAAACGAAATCTATTTTAAGGCCTTTTTCCTGCCTAGTAAATGCTAACACAATTAAGCATTGCGAAGCGTGAGTAGGTAGGTAGGTACCGCAGTAAAACCTATTCTTTAAATGATTTTTTTAAGATGTAGTTTAGTAAATCGATAAATCTCACCACTGTATTAAGCCAGTGCGTCCACCTGTGAAACATATATATAATATCAAACATTTCTGACTGGCAGTCCTTGTATATAGACGTCCTCACCGTAGCACGCGTCGGGGATACAATCTGTAAAAAACATAGCTTTTTGTTGATCGTTTTGATATCCCAATTTTTATGTTACTGAAGGTTAACCTTATATTTGCTTTTTACAGCTTGTCAGATAACGCAACTTACGTGCGGTTACCAACACTCAGTGGCAAATTAGCGCTAAGGCCACAGCGGTTTGGTCCTAGGGCGGCCAAATATTAGAGACGGTCAAAAATGGCATAAAATATTGCGTAACAAAAGCTGAGTGATGAAATACCGAATAGGTACTTGTAATTGCATTATATAATTACCTGTTTAAAAGTCAAACTCTTAAATTAATACAAGTACCTATACTCGCACTGAGCTGAGATAAGAATAACACCTATAATTTCATATACTTACATTTCGAAGTATGTATTTTAATGGAATAACGACTGTTATTACTTAGATATTTATTGTACCAAATACATGGGCCATAAATAAGTGGGCATGTCTATTCTACATTCACATATTCCAACAGATAGAAATAAGTATCTAAATTATATTATTTTTATCAAGACATAAACACAATTAAATATTTTTTCTTTTATTATTCTATATATATATAAACTAGCTTACACGATTATCCTAAGGAACCATTTAGAGGGGAATAAAAACTTAATTCCGGCTTAGTCTTATCCATATATATACCCAATGTCATCAAAATCCGTACAGTAACAAACATAGATACATACAGACATCGTTTCTAACTTTTGCATTCTAATTTGAATAATTAAGTGGGGCAGGACATGTGATTGGTAAATAATCCGCCGCTTTAAACATGTACTCGCGCATATATCGCCTTTCGTGGATACCTTGAATAGGAACACCGTTGTTAGTGTTACATCCAGTAGGCACACGTTTCTTAGTAACACCAAGTGACCGTATTGGAAACGAAAATAAAGCGGGATAGTTTCGATGCCGAAAGCGCGGCAAACGCGACATCTGGACGAAAAAGAAATAGCAATTTACGATGTGTAGTCTCATCGTATGTTTGCGTATGTAAATTATTTAATCACATACTTGTTTATCTCCATATCTGGAAGCAAGTCGCAGTGTTAGTTGCCGGCTGAAACTGTTGTATTGACGCCACTGAAATGCTTCATTGATGATTCTATTACGGAGCTTTGCCCATCTTTCTTCAGACTCCACTGGAATTAAAACATTGTCGATTAAGACAATATTTATGAGCGTTGTGATTATGAATAATTTGCTTTATTTATCAAAAGTAAAAATAAAAATGTCACTTGTTTGGAAACGGATGTGATTTTAGCTTAATAAGAAAAACTGATTTGACTAGTTCTGTCGTAAGGTAGTTGCTAATTTTAAGGGGCATTAATTGTTCGCGACGCGGGCACCGAAGAAAAAATCGGGACATTAGTCCTGATAGATAAGGTCTACGCCGAGTAAGTGTCCTTTAGACCTTTGAAAATCGGAATGTCCCACGCAAATGGAGACACATTCGGGTAATTTACTAGATTAATCTCAGTTCGGAATAGCAGATGAAGATTCAACAAAGTGATGATGTTTGGTTTGTGAGTTACGATAGTTTTTTATCAAGGTGCGAGCAAAGACGATCGACATTGTTATTGTACGAAATTCTAGGGGTGTAAGGATGGAGAAGAAAGGTGATTAGATATCCAAAATTGAAATATACTTCAAACGAGATTACAATATGCTTCATTTAAGTCTATCACTTTAAACTTACATGGCGAGATTTCTGGTTCGTATTTATACGACAAAGCACGGTCCATGCACTCTTGAATCCAGTCTTGCCAGGCTTGCACGTTCCACATCAAACTGATCATCATTGCATGCCAATCAGCCATTTGATCCGTTGTTACAATTGGTGTACCTGTGTATATAGAAAAGCTCAAAAATAACATTGCTTAGACTTATAAAAATTGTAGAAAAGACAGCAAAAACTTACGTGAGCTTATGCCAGAAACGCCAGCCGTAGAGGGTGCTATATTCAAAGAAGGTTCAGGAATAGAGACATTCTCGTTATACACAGCACCTGTGTGCATAGTCGTTAGCGTTGGTAAATTCAGGGTATTAAAGTCGTGTGACGGTTTTGTATTCGAACTATTTACTGGAGTGAAATATGTATCTGTCGATGACTGTGATGTTGTTCCTTGTTTTTCATGTTCTGGTTCAGGTTCATCAATATCTCCGTCAGTATACATGGGTTCATTTTCTTGATATATGTCGTATAATAGAGATTTGTAGGACATATTTTCCGTTTTCGGTAAGCGTGTTGTAGTTTGTAAATTAGGAGGAATCTGCGATGAATATACTGAAGGGCTGCGACTGTGAGATGCTTGTTGATCGTATATCGTGGAATAGAGTAGATAAGATGTGGTAGGTTCATTTTTGCAACCGCTTGTTCTTTTAGCTGCTGGACATTCCGGAAGGGTTTGTCCGCGTCTGTTACAAGTCCTGGCCATTTTGGAAGGGCAAGTGGTCAGTGATATTTCTATCCCTGGTGCGAACGCTCTGGAAGAACTGGAGCTTATCTGTATCCGCTGTGCGGGGGCTAAGTCTTGCAGCGCCTGGGCTGATACGTGACGTGAGCACGTACAGCAAGGCCGCGCTACTCGGCGCAGTATCTCGTCGCACCACAATTCGCATTGCACGAATACATTTTTCATACATTTGCAAACTTGAATGACTTCTGTTGAAAATTAACAAAAGATATGTGAATCGATTACGTATAAAGAGCACAGAAAAAATGATAAGTTTTATAATGTTCTTACGAGGTTGCAGAAGGAGCATCGTCAAGTATGATGTAGCATCTTCTATAACATCTGAAAGAGAAGTATAATTAAGGATTTATTTCAGTACTTACATTAAAAATTTGTTTAATATTAGTCTTATTACCTTCCATTAGCGCTGCATATTTGTCAGGTGTCTGACCAAGCATTAAATTGTGAAGCTTTATATGTATTTTTCTTGCAACTACAGGATCTCCGCTTGGCGCACGAAGTTGATCGTTATTTTTATCGCGTAATCTAAATAACAAAGTGATTTAAATCTTATTTTTTCCAAGTAAATCTGGTGCTTAATAATCACTTTGCTATAAAATTATCTTACATATTTGCCCCGTCTGTGTAAGTTTTCCGGAGAGTCCCATGCCGTAGTAACACATTGTCTCCTGCTGAATCCATTTTTTCAACTAGTATTTTTAATGCTTTTGTCTTCTCACCTGGAAATGTACCGTAAATATTTTATACATAATGCACAGTTTTTTAATTGTATGTTAATAACGTACTATAAATCGGTTGAACAGCTTTTTATACGAAACGTTCAGTTTTACAGTTTTTATTTTTACTCTAAAATTCAAATGGTAGCACAGGCCCGGATCTAGGGGGGCAAGTGGGGGCAGTTGCCCCGAGCGCCAGTGTCAGGGGGGCACTAAAATCACGGTGGGGGTGGGGGTTAAAGGTGCAATATCAAGTTTCTGCCCCGATTGGAAAAAAAAGTTGCAGATCCGGGCCTGTGGAAGTCAGTAGTTTTGTTGAAGGTATTATTTACACTAAAGAATAGAATACATACCTTGTAACATTATATAAGAGACCAGCAACTTTGCACTCTCGTTAATAACGCCTGGAACATTAATTACATCTAAGAAATCTACCTTAATTTGGTATTAAAATATAATACTTTTAACATCATTTATAACAAAAAAAAAAAAAAGATTAAGTAAACTGAGAACAAAATAGAATTCTCTTTAAAACATTATTATTTTTTTGATACTTATCGGATACCATTCCAGTTCAACATTACAGTAAGTTCTATAATATTATTTACCATCCAATACAGACGATGTGTATCCCGAGGGAGTAACATTAGCCATAATCCCTTTTAGTTTTCTTACTGTTTCCGAATGCAAACTAGAATTCGCCAAGTTAATTTGGTCCGTGGACGACGTCAGCTGCCTTAGGCTGAAACGAAATTTGTATAAGATTAATACTAATGGTTACGGATCAATAACCTAAAACATATACATATATTATGCGGATACAACACAGGGATTCCGGATTTTAATGTTATCTAGAATCGCAATAAACGTACTTTTGATAGCTGACATTTCTTTAATACTCAAGCAAGGAACATAATTTATCTTTATAGTTTGAAAGTAATTTTTTTCCGTGTTTAAATACAATTGTTTGCATATCTACACAAAGATAATATGTTCTGATTAATGATTATGAAACAAAAATAGCAAGATGAATATTGATATCTTACTAAGCAGCAGCATCTTTATAAGATTTTGGGATATCTCCTTCGACGAGTAATGCGTCTCCATTTGACTCCATTTCACCAAGTAGCGCTACATATGCTTCGATTTGTTCATCTGTATGAAGGGAAATATGAATGATAATTAATTTTTTTTGGCTGTCCGTCAGGTAAATTATTGGAGAATATTAAAAACGTATTTTTTTATTCATTGCGTAATCAATAAATTACGTCGATACTTTGAGTTACAATGTCACATGATATCACGCTTTTGTACATCTTCTACAAAGCTATGACGTAGCGATCCCCCTGCAAGTTATTACGAATCCAATATTTTATATCTGATTGACGGACTATTTTTTTTTACCTAAGCCAATCAGCATTATAATAGATTAGACAGAAAAAAAGGCAAAGAAATATTTTTGAAGCCGAAGATTTAGACTAAAATAATAAAGATGCACCTTGCTAAGTGAAATTAGACATCATCAAATCAATTAATTATTCCTTTGAGGAATTAAATAATTAATAAGACTTAGTAAAGATGATATACTTTTTACCTGGCTTTGTAACTAATTCAGATAAATAATCTGCAGCTCCTTTGATATGTTCTGGAAAATAAAGTTAAATTTATCAGCGTGAAGATATACAGTCTTTTAATTAATCGAATTCCGAATAGGTTTAAAAATCATTACCAATTATTTGAAAATAAAAATGTTTAAATTCTATAAAAAAGTTTTCAATGCCAGCGGAAATGTGAATCTGTGTGCTGTTTAGAGAAACTATGGTTTACCTTTCATTGTTGATGTTAACTTTCGCGCCATAGACCGGCATCTGATTATATCATCCAATTTCTTTGTGATATAATATGCGACCGATGGGCATGGTTCTTTTACTTCCATAGATTTTGCCTTTTTCAACCTAAAAATTGTCTATTATGACGACATAGTATATGCATGAAATACTTATAATAACGGGTACTAGACGCGACTTTCGAAAATCGTGAAAATTGCGTCAAGTACCCTTTATTATAAGTATTTAATAATGCAGCGCGATAGTTTAAAGGTGAATATAATATAATATGTACGAATTTTTTTAAGGCACAAATTTCGATTAATAAGCATAGGTAGGTACACTATACGTTACATTGAAATTAAGCCAAAGTGAGGCCTGTAGCAAACCCCCCCCCCCCAAATAATAAAAATCGTCCTTTGATTTCCAACACACACAACACAACTAATCTGTGTGTCACGATATAAATGTTATACTGAAAGCATCGTCAGTTTATAATCTTATTAGAATTATTATAATCTAACCTAACCAAAATCTGGGATAGCTTATCTAACGACACATAAACTGTCAACAATTTTTATGGTGACTTGACTCTATTATTAAACGTCCTTTTAGAATTATAAGTTTGCATTCTTATTAAAATAGCGTCAACGCGGTAGGGAGAAATTATACTAACTTCCAGGTTGTAGATCTCTATTTAAATAACTAAATCTTCAACTTATATACTACTTAAAGGAGGGGATTTAGAGTACGTGATGCATAACGTCGACAAGGGAGGTAATCGTTGATCACGTGATAATGTTTGCATACTACAGTACCTTTGTGCTGCAAAGAAAAACGTTTCGGTCGCTCCGTCCACCTCGACTAAAATCTCGTTTCCGCGTTTCTGCATCTCCGAAATAAGGCCCTCACGAGCTAGAGCCTTGTAGTCTAAAAAATAGTTCAATTCATGCTATTTATTGTACATATATGTATAGTTTATAGATACGATGTTGGTATGGTACCACTTGGAAAATGTAAGCACTTTTCTTTGAACAATTTGCGGTATAGTTGTATCAATTAAAAAAAAAACACTGACGATGAGCTGTTGATGACATTGTGTTATTAAACAAAGATAATGAAATAAATCTTACTGCTAGCAACAAAGTATTCTGAGAGCTGCCTTGACGACTCGATGACTACGTCTGAAAAAAGAGACATTCACAATATTTAGAAGATCCTATTAATACTTGAGTTTTATGTCATCTTATGTAGGTAAATAAATATACCTTGCATCACGTCTACCATATTACTCGGCGTACTTTTGCTGACCACTGCGCTAAGCTTCCTTTCAAATTTCTTGTGAAGGCGGTCTGTGTCGGCACATTCTTTCACAGACTTGTCTACTTTCATAGGCGGCTTTTTTAACCTGAAATAAAAGTAATCATACCTCTTATTTATATGGCTATGATAAGATATCGATTAAAGCCACTGTGGTTTCTGTTCCCTCTATAGAAAATGGCATCATAATAACAATACTCACCAGTTTGATGCTTCAGAATGCGAGATCTGCGTGTGTGGTTGTTTATAAAAGGTTTCTCCTCCGCGAGCTTGCAGTTGCGAGTGTAAGATATTCAATGCGGAGGCGCGTTCCGGGTCAGTATCGGCTCCTGCTCCTGCTGATATAATTTGAATATTCTGATGTGCTATTAATCAAAAGATATTTATTGGTGTTCATTTACAAGTAAAAGCAATTAAAAAATAAGTAAGTATTAGGTTGGAGAATTCTTTTCGTATATAGTACCGATATCTTGTATAATATATCAAAGGATTGAATTTTACTAAAAGCTTATGAATGTCCGAATCTACCCCTATTACGGGGTACAATCGTACATGGGCCGGGGAACATTCAGACAGTGTGGTAACTTCATATATATTAAGTAAAATAACAAATTAATTAAAAAATATCGTTTTCATTGATCTCAAACTTATCAACGATGTAATAAACTAAACGACATATGCCTATATGTCGTTTAGAGTCTAACTATCTTTTTTACGAAAACCGTGCATCCATTCTATATCAGCGAAGCCAGTTTCATAACAATTTTGCTAAACATTTATATTTCAAAACTTTATCATAATCATTTGATAGTGTTGTGACTTCCAATATCGTGATTCCGAAATGTGTTTTTGAACTTTTTCAATTGATTAGTCTTTTTAGTAAAACTATTTGTCTTTTACTATATAAAAACACCTTTTACAGACGCAAAAAAACTCATTTAATGAATATTGGGAACGTGTCTGCCTGCATAAACTTGTAATAAATTATTTCTCGCTGGTTTCGGTATCAATAAAAAGTTTAAGTTTAAATACAAGATGGCAAAAAGTTATCGAACAAAATGGTACATACATAGTTTAGTTAAATGTAAATAAACTTTATTAAAAAATGTTTTGAATTTTCATACAAAATGCGAAGAAACTTTTTCTCCAACCTATTACTTTACCATCTGCTTAGACCTTAGCATCAAACAACCATACAGAACTCAATTCCAGAGTTATGCTGTCACACAATTCACAAACTCAATATTTGTGAATTGTGTAGTGTACTGTTCTTATACCCGCTGCCCTCCTTCTGCGCTCATCTTCATCATCCTCTCCTCCGCGAGCACCCCCTGCTCTCCTCCGAGCTTCTTCTTCAGCCCTTCTCCGAGCTTCTTCTTCAGCCTTTCTCCGTGCTTCTTCTTCAGCCTTTCTCCGTGCTTCTTCTTCAGCCTTTCTCCGAGCTTCTTCTTCAGCTTTCCTCCGAGCCTCAGCGTCTCTAAATATTGTTTTTGTTTATTAACTACTAAATTATTTACATATAAATATGCATAATGCTTAGAGTTCTTTTTAATAACATGTTTATTGAGTTTACTCACTTCATTTTGATATCGTAATATAAGTAGAAAATATAATTCGTGTTGTTACATCAAGTTTTACTCAAGTACAAAAATGCATGGATCAACTTGTTTATATGTTTTATGTATCTAAAGATAATTGATTATTTTTATATAGCAATAATTTTAGGAGAAGCCACGGAACAAGTTTGGTCCTGTAAGAACATTAGCATTAGCTAAACTAGTTTTAATAACAGAAAGCTTTTTACAAATAAACGTAATCTGAGTTGATTTCTTAAATTTAGTGGGAATAAATGGAACTGAATACAGTTTTTTTCACGAATATTCATAATTATTATTGTTAGAGATTTTTTCGGACTTATTCGTTTCTGTCTATGTAATTACGTACCCTGATGATGCAGCTGCAGCGTTGAGCCCTTTCAAATCGGCTGTGAAATAAAAAGGTACGAGAAGTGAAAAGTATCTTTCAGCCCTGTGATTCTGTAAAAATCCAAACCCGAATTCGAATTCACTCATGTGTCCAAATTCACATCATTTAGTATAGAAATACTAAATTCTATTGAATCCATTTTTTTTTTATAAAAATACAAAACAAAATTTATTTGAATATACGTGTCTCAGATATTCTATTTTTATGTTATTTCGAAACTCAACACACAAACTCACTCACCTTCTTTTGTAGCTATACCAGCGAGATATGAAGCCGTAATATGTGACGTGTCTGCAAATGAAATAATTAATAAGTAGATACACTGAGTTCCAACTAATGTAGCGCATGATGAATCTTCTTTTTACCAACAATACGGTGTAAAATATAACACATTAGGTGACCATTTCACTCACATTCAGCGGGAGTTAGGTGGATGGATATTGATGGATCGTCCGATGGCGTGTTTTTTGAATCATACTGAATGGCCGACATTTGCCGCACTCAGAAATTTAGCCTTCTGCGCAGGTACATCAACGATCATCACGTTAGTTGTATGTTACTGTAGAATTTATGTTACTTAATCAAATATGTTTATTTATAAATTTCTACCTTCCATATAATCTTTAGTCTTCTGATCAGGGATAGCGACTTCGTTAAGACGCTTATTTACTTCATCGTATATTATTGGAGATGGAGTTTGCCCGCCAAAGTGCGATGCTGTTTCCAACCTACATTCATATACATAAATAAGTTCAGCAATCCAAGCAGAAAATTAATTAAGCGTTTTAAGAGAACTAACACACTTAATGGGGTACACAAAATAGAAAGGAAAAAATGATGAATGAAGAGAAAGGTATAAAAAAATGATTAATTTGCCAAGCTGGCATGGCACAGAAAGTTGTCGGTATAGCCAATAGCACGTCCAGTTATACAAATTGTCAAATTTTTCTACCTAACTTTAAACCTTAATACATTGAGGATATAAATTAAAATCGTTGTCGCAAATCGTTGTTTTATTTGGATTTGAATATATTAATGAGTTTGTTATCCAAACCTAAAAAGTCTCGACGTCTGACCAAAGGCTATGATTTTTAAAAAATTATGCAATTGAATACTTTATTTAAAACAGGGATGTTGCAGATGCCAATATATTCACATCCGCGGATGCGGATGCGGATGCGGAGTTTTGCAGGCTCACATCCGCGGATGCAGATGCGGATGCGGATGTTTAAGATATTTTGTAAATAAAGTCCATTAATGAAGAATTAAAACAATGATAACGTAATTAATTAACATTTTTATTGTAATCAAACATAAGTACTTATTTTTATGTTAAATATAAGCAATGTATAATGTAATTATTTTTTTAACTTCACCTACTGGATTTTATTTTAGTAATTGAAATTAAAAATAGGAGCATTATACTTGATAAAGAGTAGTATTGCCGCCTTTTCTGATTCAAGTCTGTTACGCAGAGGTTCGTAAATTAAACCCGCGCTACTAAATAGTTGTTCGCTAGGAACACTGCCCGGTGAGCAGATAAAAATCTTCGTACTATCGGCGATAATACCTTAAATTCTTTCGATGTACACTCCACCAGTTAAAGGATTTTCATTCACATTTATTCTTTTTTTAGTAAGGTAAGCAAGTAACTCCTTTTTGAGTACAGCTTCAATGCTACCATTTTTTGGCTCATCTGACTCTCGTCTTCACCTGATGAATCTAACATCATGGCCAGGTCGTTTTGTAAGCATGGCTTTTTGTTGAAACCTGAAGTCCTGGTCCTAGTTGTTCCGTATAATTTTCCGTGCAATCAGATATTTATTTATTTTAGCCCTTTTGGTATTGGTATTAAGAGATCCAAAAATGTCATTCTCAGTATTTATCATTTTTAAAATGTCATCTTTAATCTTTTCTTCATCACCGGTGTGAAAAATTTGTGTTTATAGCGAGGATCTAAGTAGGTGGCGATGGTGTATAAATTGTTTCTCTCAAGCTGGAAAACTTTGTTGAAAGTTCGATTTTCAAAGTCATAACAGCCTGACGAATCGATCAAAACTCTTGTGATCTTGTCAAATAGTCATCAACTTTTTTTTCAAGCATTTGCATTATCGGTATCACAGATGAAATAAGAGCACAAGAGCTGCTCAGTTCCCGCGTTGCTTCCTCAAATGGTCCCAGTAAATGAATAAAACTTTCAATGATTTTCCATTCTTCTGGTAGAATGGGATCAATTTCATTATCATTCGTGTAAAGACTCAGAGCATCCTTTACCTTTGAAAAACGCTCGAACATGTAGAATGTACTGTTCCATCGCGTTACACAATCTTGAAACACTTTCAGGTGCGTTTGATTCAGTCTGTCCTGAATTGATTGTAGTTGTTTCTGGGCAATGGTAGAGTGATTGAAATGGGTCGAAATTTTCTTACATTTTTGTTTTAGTATTTTTATGTTTTCTTGTGAACCTAAACAACTACGGATAGCTAGTTGTATCTTGTGAACAGTACAGTCTATATCATTCAATGCTGCTAATCGCCCGGCTCGTTTCATATTAGACCCTTCATCTCTGATAAGGCAATGCAGTTGTTCTTTTTTAATATTCCATTCAGAAAGCATGGTACTGAATTTTTCAGCAATTATGTCACCAGTGTGACGGCCGTCAAATGTCTCACATTTCAATATTATCGATGATCTATCAAAGTTTTCTGCAATTCCATGGCAAGTCAAGCTAAGCAAGGAAGCGTTTGAGCTTGGATCCGACCAAATATCAGACGTAAACGACATGTTATCAAATTTTCGATAATTCTTTAACTTTTTGAGCCACTTTGCTATATAATTCCTTGCATACAAAATCTGTAAAAAAATTGCGTCCCTAAAATTATATCTGGTGCTAATTCTTGCATCAATCTACGAAAACCCAGCCCTTCAACAAAATTAAAACGGTAAATTTTGAAGCGCAATCATTTCTCCAATGAGTTTATCGATTTTTTAGAATTTAAATTATTGACGTCCCACTTCTTTTCTTTAGAATTACTTCTTCTAATGAAAGTTGTTTCTTTGCTTCTTGCAAAGGAGTGGTAACTTTATCTAAAAAATATACATATGAATAATAATTTTCGTAATAAAAAACTATTTACTTAAAAGTAATTAATAAGTGAGGACACTTCGAATATTCGAAATAAAAGAAAACCTTTCTTTATATTTTTGTAAATAACTTTCAAAATCAAATGTCCAACTTATATTACAAAAAAATAAATAAAAAGATTTTATTCATTATTAACATTTATAATAATAAGGAAGGATCCCTAATGTTTTCTAACATTAACATAAATATGGCGTGAATGTAGCTGAAACA